ACCACCTCGTTCCTCCTTCCTCTCCTTCACAAGCAGTTGACCCTGACTTATGACACTCCCCTCAGTCCCCTCTGAGAGACCGCCGATATTGACCAACAAACAGAAGTTCGATTCAGTGTCGTTCAGTACGGTGACTGAAGAACGATCTCGCTCCCCGTGTCGAGCATTAGACGATCACAAAGCTAAAACTCCGACCACGAACGAAGGAAGCCAAGAACAGTCACGCAGAACGCGAAGCTCGAAACCTGTACCCAACAATCCAGACATTCTTCGCTCCATTGAGAGGCTTTGATAAACAAAATTTCAAACGAAGGGAATCGTAGACAACAACTGACACCACCTCCCCGGAGGGGGAAATGTCACCTCTTCATAAATGGTGACTAACGAACACGTTCCACCTCTGGCTCCGTCATCACTCCATGTAACCAACAATCCAAGAACGATTTGACCCTCAATCAACGGTAAGCATGCCCAATGGTACAGACCCACGACCCCCGGCCTCCGATCGTGAGCCCCTGTACAGTAGATAGCCCATTAGGGGCCGCCACCAAATGTAGATGTCTTCTAACTAACATAACGGCCGGTCAAACCCCGCGAGCGGCAGATACCGGTTTACCGGTCTGTCCTCGAGCAGTCAAGCGAGTAACCTCGTTCGAGGTCGTTTCGGGTTTCCTTTACTACCATGTACAGGCGGTACGCTCCTCATTGGGTCCACCTCATCCGAAGTTAGAGGAGCCTGCCAGGTCAGGCTGGACTGCGGGTGAAAGGGGGCGAGATCTGACGTGCCACGGACCGATTCGGACTGGTATAGACAGCCGCGCATGAGATCTAGCGGCGATTGGGCGAGACTTGTGATAGGAGGGTGAGCCTTTGCCAGCCATCGTCAAACGAGTTCCAAGCCTCACACGCGTGGATTCAGCAGTGGCAATCCAAATGTCGCAGCTTTCGCGGGCCACCACGTACACAAGGAAAGGAACTCAGACAGCAGCAGCAGCAGCAGCATCAGCTACGGTCGGATAACCTGGTAGGTCGAGCCCCAGTGCTCTCGAGTGCTCTCACCAGAGCCGTAGAGAAGTCCACCCGATCCCATCGTCGCGCTGCCATGTCTCCCTCTGTCCCTGCATCGCCAGGATCGACCGTCCGTCAGCCCGTCCGTCCGTCCGTTCATCGCCCGTCCGCTTCCCCGGCTGCGCTGCGTCCATCGATCCATACATAATACAAGCGCCCTACGCCACGCTACGTCGTAGAAAAGCTGCCTACCATGACTCTAGCTGACAGGAGACCGGACCGTGTGGTTGGAAAGCTCCTCCGCACGCTCCGAGCTCTCTCTCGAGCCTCTTCTCAGGGGGACTGTCTAATAATTAGTCGCGCTCTTGGCTTTTCTCGTCGCTCAGCTCTCGCTCGCCCGTCCATCACGTTCCTTTCTCGCCCCTAAAAGCGACCCATTTAAGGTCCATTATTCCACGTCCGGTCGATTAGCCTTTTGCTCGCAGTATGTTCAAGATGTTGCTAACTTTGAGGAGCCTTGTCCAGGACCATGAGTACTTGCTAGATCTCGTCCAAAAGCCGAATCGCGCCCGGTCCCGATATACGCTACCAACAATAAAAGACTCGTGAGTTCCATCGTTAAGGCTGACACGCCTCATAAAGGCTCTTATCACGCACCTATCTAGGTCCATTTGGTCTGGATTTCTAAAGCTCTCGATCTCATCGATGGATCGAGAAAGGACGGGCCGATCGATCATTATGATACCGGTCTTTTCTCTCCTGGATGGGTCCAAGGCAAACGATTGAGCCCCGAGATGGGGGTTTTGAGCTTTCTCTCTCGCGGCCGCTTTGAATAGCAGGTTCTCTTCATTTGCTACGGTCAACTTGGATTTATGGGGTGCGTTATCTCATTTCTCCATATATAGTACTCGCAGGGCAGTGCAAACATATTCTTGACCGGCACTGATTCAGCAGCAACTTATGCCGTCGGTGGATCTTGAGCGTCAGTTGATGAACGAGATTTCGGTTGTCTTTTCAACTGGATCCCGCAGTTCTTAATGAGGTTTGAGATTTGCTGCCGCTGGTCGAAAAGGTCGCTCGCTTGGGTTCTTTGAGAGATGCTCCGAGAACTAATGCACAAAAATCTCAGGAAGTTCTAAATATGATACCATCGACATGTTCTAAAATCGCAATGATAAGCTGAAAAAAGACGCCATTGTTCCCAAAAACTGGACCCTATGACAATGTTGGAAACTGCGCTGAAATAGTGACCAATCATGGTTCCTTCTATATTCATGGGCTCCACTTCCTTGAGTAGGGGAGCGCCAGGGACGTGGGCTAAATCAAGAGATGGTCATGGCGTTCTCAAATATTATATTGTGAGACCATAAATATATTAAATAATAATTGGACACCGTGAGAATGTACGTCTTTGTTGAAACACAGAGAAGAGGTAGACATGCAAATACTTGCATATAATTAAGAGAAATCACCCCCAACCATCTATCTTCTGCATATTTCATAAATAATGCAGGTCGGCAGAATTACCTCTACTGCAACGGAAATTATATCAAGATGCATACATTTGCAACTCTATCAGGCACTCATAACAGCCTTGAAATTATATTAAATAAATCTATTAAATTACATGTAACGTTAATTTGCATTGAAAAATGAAAACCTTTTCTAGCTACATGACGATACACAAGTGTAGGTAGAATTGGGCCGACTGCAATATTTCTTCGGAATTTTAGTCTTCAAAGGAGAACCAAGCTTCCCATCATTTTTTTCTGTCATCTACACCATCTACACAATGCAGTACTGCGTTACTGCATTACGGCTATTTCGCCCCCATTTTTCATTACTATGCCACTGTCCACAAATTCAAAGTTGTGGTTGAAGAAGGTTTTCTTGTTCCCTGTAGAATCGTTAGTTTGGTCATTTGTTCAATGATGACATATATGTTGGTACTTTATCGGATCTGATTATTTTTTGGAGCCGCAGTGTTATCTGATAGTTGGATGCAAATATGAACAGTTCATAAGCCAAACGTGAACTCTTCCATTTCAAAGAGTGTGCAAATGTTTTGGGTTTGCACAGTTCATGTGTACACGAAAGATGGTAGATTAGAAGGAGAAAAGGCAAGACATGACTTGCGATAGCAGGCTGAAGGTCTCTTAAACCTTACACTACACAATGTTACTGAAAACATCCGCGTTCACTGTGCACACTACTCTATGCACATTTCGTGCAAGGAGCGGTAAATTCTAGTATACTGAAACAGTGCATTGGACAACCATTCAGTAGCGTTTAAAAAAACTATGCTGTCAATTCAATCAAATGTTTTTTTTAATTATTAATTTATTGTCATGAAAAAAATGTTTGTGTTTTTTTGAAGTAGAAAATTAATTTAAGTTTTTCTATCAAACTTGATAGGAAACGAAGAAATAGTAGCAGCTGAGTAGAAAACCGTCATGATCCAAAAGTTCTTTTATCTCATTGTCAATTCTAGGGGGTACTTGAAAACTTAGATATTATCATTTCAAACGATTAAATATATATCAGTTGGCAAACAACAGACGATTTAACATTATTTCTCGTAGATATTGACTGAAAAACCAAAGAAATGAAATTCGTTTGATAAATCATTTCCAATTTCAAAGTATACATTACACTGAATCAAATTCTTTTCTTTGAAACCGTTCTTAAAATTGATAGATTGAAACACGTCAAATGGCGGCAAAAAGCTTGAAGAATAATAAATCAAGTGAGGTGTTTTTTATGTAATCGAAAGAGACATACATCCTTTTTATAAAAAAAAATTCATAAAACCAAAAATATATGTTGTAACGCGAACGTTGGTATCTCTTGCATTTTATTCAAAATAAAAGACCTGACAATTAATTCAAAATTTATTTCTTTGTGATCTTTAGCCATTTATTTTTCTTATTTGAACGATCCATGAAAATCAATAAGTCATTGCAATATTATTTTATTTAAGAAAAGCTTACTTTTTTTCAAAGATACACACTAATTAATATTCTTAGTTTCATGACTTTAGTTTTGACATTATCTACAGAAAAGAAAGATTATATATGAATATTTTAGCTACACAACATCAAATAACTATCAGAATCGAACCTGACTTAATGTATTAAAAACCATGAACAGGCCAATCCTGTTATTTATTGATTTTTAAAATTATTTTTTGTACTTTAGAAAAATAATCACATAGTTTGTTTCATCTTAGAAAATTTCTCTAGATATCTTTAATTGAATTTTCATATTCTCAAATTAATTTAAAGCAATGATATAATTTTCAAAGTTTTGAACTATACTGTGTAGAAAATTTTAACTGCTTTTACAGGAAACATCTATAATAAGAGAGCTGAAAACTTTTATTCCTTGTTGCTAACGCAAAAAGTTGCGGAGTCAATCATATTTTAAATAACGCACTTTTATAAAATTGAGGATATTTTTTTACAGAAAATTTTTCTTATTTACTTGATCAAATTTGGATGTAAAATCACGGTAAAAATACGTATTACATGTATTATATTTAATTTCAAACACAAGGATTATCCTAAATAAATAATTTATTTCAAAAAATATAAAAATGTTCAGGCTCTAAGGTTTCATATCTCATATGTGATTATAAATTTAGTCATATTATAAAAACAACTTATCGAATCAAAAGAATTCAAATTTATAAATTATAGAATATAGAAACATTTTCGAATGGGTTTCAAATTTTGAACCTGATCACGATCCTTAAATTCCTATCGTTTTGATACTCTATAGTGCAAGGAATTATTGAGACTTTCATTATGTGAGAGATAAAAATATACTTATAAAAGGCCAAATGTTCATTCTCCTACAGCCAAAATATCTTGCTCGTAAAAACTCGAAAGTATAAGAGTTTCTCGTCGAAGTCGTCATGACAATGGAAATTTCGCATCAAGACAACACCCTGAACCGAAATGCCACAATCCTGACAGAAGCACAGGCTCGTTCGCGCTGGTGCTAATAAGTAGTCCAGAACACGTATTCCCGCAGAGCTCTGCTTAGGCGTATCTCGTCCGAGATACGGTGTCAAGTCAGGAAGGCTTCGGAAATTAATGGGGCGTCTGACGCGAACGACTGGCCTGTACCGCGCGAGGTCAGAGCTATGGCGACAAAAGCACAGATATTTGATTTCGGATGATGGACGAAGCGTAAGTGCGGTTTGGCGGAGCCGGGAAAGAAAAGAAAATGGGACGAGCAGTATGTCGATGGAAAGGGAAGCGTCTGGCAAGATTTGCAGACGAGTTCGCTGATGGATGCCAGTGAGGAGTGGATCAGGCTCAGCGCACTCTCAGGGAGCCGTTCTATGGCGAGCCGTAGGAGCGCTCGCTTTCTCTGCTAGGCGCAGAGGCGACGGCGAGTGCAGATAAGTCCAAAGGCGGAAGATTTTCGTCTGACTGCTCGACGCATTCGATGCCAGCTGCAGTTCGTGACACGGATGGAGGAGTTCAGGCAGATGGCTGTTCTGCGAGCTGCTGACCGCCGTGACATTGGATCCCCTGATATCGGGAAGTGCTCGGCAGCTCTCGCGCAAGTTCCCTCGGCAAATGACGAGCGAGAGATCCCTGCTCCCGTATCTACCGCCAACGGGCGCTGCCCGCTGCACCCTTTGCATGCAACTCGTCGGAAAGATTCAGTGCCAATGTGCCGAGGCAGGCTGCGCCCGCACACGAACGGTGAGAGAGAAAGGTGAACGAGAACAAGTGTAGCCCCGAAGGACGAACTCCGAAAAAAGAGAGAAATAAACAAAGTCAAAAGGTAAACTTTTCACCAACTTCCCCGAGCTAATCTCCCTCCCCCACAATTTAGGGCTAAACGCCTCTTCTTTGCTCCTCCGGGCTTCAAGAAGTGCAGTACTGTATATTTAGGCTGTTGGACTCCTCCCGTGGCCTGAACTCTAGGACGCTCTCTATCTCTCTCTCTCTCTCTCCCTCTCTCCCTCTCTCTAGCAGTCATCCGAGTCGAGTAATTCATGCAGTCTTACTTTCTTGAAAAGAGGAAATGATGTGCGTTTTCACCATTAGTTTTCTAACGGAGATAAGACGTCTTTCAACTCCGATCACCTACGCATAGGAGGGCCAACGGAAGCTCGCCAATTGGCGAGATTTTCATCTGCTCTTCAGGGACCCTCAAGCGTTTGTTGCCCGAAAAGTTGCCGCTATGATGGAACCGTCAATCCATCGTGCACGCAAAGCACACATACGCAGTTCGTACGTGCTCGGCCCCTCCACAGTAGTTAGCGCAATGATGGATGTTTCTCTCGCTCGCATCCCGGGCACACAGTTGGCTCCAATCCGCACGGGATACAATCCTTGCTAGTCAAACTGAAGCGGGAGCCGGGCTCAGGAGCAGAGACATGTCATGCTTTCAACACATGGCAGTACATTGCATCGAGATTATGTCTTCTTTATTCTTCGTCCCCAGGCATTCGAGATCTCAGAGCGTGTCCATGCCCTGTAATGCATGAACTCAACGAAACGGAATCATTTCGCCAATGACTCCATCTCTAGAACTCAAAACTCCCTCCACATGCAAGCTCCCTTCAGACCATGCAATGAATGATGAGGTATCTGAGTGGCGCAATCAGTCCCGAAGGAATGCGCGTTGTGAGATAGAGCGTTCCATCAGTGTACTGAAGAGAACCACATGTGAGAGCGCATGCTCCCGCACTACACTAATCTCCTCCATACTCTTCGTCCCTCCTGATCACGCGTGTCAAACAATCAATCAACTGGGCCACCAGATAATATAGAAAAACTGATGCGGAACACCCCGTCCAATAGACTTGGGGCTTACCTCAGATACCCTTATTAACTGTGTTCTTAACATATCCTGAGTATGTTTATTAACTCGTTAGATACACATGAGCATAAAATGCCAAGATTCTTTTATTATCTTTTGAGATCTCAAAATCTAAAGAAAGTGAATATTTTTTTACAGTACATTAGTATATTCAAAATTCCATGACATATTTGTCCAAATTCAAGTTTGTAAGTTATCTAATTACAAATCGAGAGAGTTATTTTACTTTTTTACAAATTGCATTTCTATTTGCTTGAAATTCTTGGCTCATGATGTTTAACTCGAAACCCACCCACTAAGATGCTATTGACCCACTCTGAAACTGTTTCATCTACAGCATCTGTAACCATCACTCCATAACAACAACATGATCATCCCTAACTAGTCTAGATTCATCAAGGCATGTTAATGCTCACTCCACTCACCATTTTTTAAATATTACATTTTATGTTTTAAAAAGGGGGAAATATGATAAACATAAAATACCAACATCTTCATGAATAAATACTTACATCGATTGACCAAGCTAAAGGGAACGTTGCCATTGAATAAGTAACTCAGTCAATACACAATTGCATTTGTTAGTCTCAACTAGCAGCGTATGTTCTATCATTGCATGGAATGCTCTGCCAACTTCCACAACAGCAAGATGGAAGATTTTCTCAAATCAGAAGAAGCACTAGGCTTTTCTCTGCGTGCCCTTTCCTTGGGCCTTGCTCTCCTATTCCATTCTCCCGCTGTATCTTGTAAATGAGAGAGATCAGTCTGTTCCACCACCATACTGAACGAAATTCACGGCTCAAGCCTGAACTTCAGCTTTCCGAGAGTAAGCTAGAGTCATAGAAAGGCTAGCGGCTTTTCTGAGGATGATGGTTACGCTAATGGCTCTTCCAGCCGCCTCTTCTCTTGGGCGAAGTTGTTAAAATGTTTCCTGCTTGCGTTCTGAATTTCCATATACTTGACGTTGTTGTGATTATTTGGCTGTACGGCTCAAGACCAGAGTACTCGCTGGCCGGGCGTCTACACCGTACGACACTCTGCATGTCCAAGCGTTTGTCTCGGACGGAGCACTGACTGACTCCCTGACCGTGTTATCCTCATGTGAAACCACTGCGCATCAGCGGTGCCGCCATGTGGTTGGGTCAGGAGCTACAGACGCCTCCCTCCCTTAGCGACGTCTTTCTGTCAGGACAATCCACATGGTGACCGCACCCGTCCTCGGTCATGCCTTGGTTCCACTTGGTTGCCTACTTCGTTCCCCTAACTCGGTGCCCCATCCTTTTTATGGTTTTAATTTGGACTTTAGGCACTAGGCTCCCCTTCCGGTCCTCAAGTTGGATCTTGAACTTGGAAAATATGGTCGTGATTTGGAGAGTGAGTTAAGGACAAAAAAAAAGTGCATCAATTTTGCTGACAGAATTTGTACACTAAAAATAGGATTAAGAAATGCTAACAGATGAAGATTCTTCCAATTGATTAATTCCCACGTTTGTCCAACACGTGTATATATGAATCTATGTATATACAATGTTTTCAACTTATGACATCTAAACAGTTTTGATTCGAGATTCAGTCATGATGGAACCAATTGCTGTAGTTTGTTCGCTCTACATCCAAGGCATTCTACATCGGTCTAGACATATGTTCATTTACGGCTTTCAAGCAGGCAACTTCAGTCTAAAGTAAAAACAGCAAGTATTTATTGTATCGATTTTTTGTTGCAAAGTCTCGACCTTTCCACTTCATATCTAAAGTTTGGAGAAGCCTCTTAGCAGGTTCTTGCGTCAAATTACTATCTTAGGTTGAGATAACATAAAACGAGAGTCATATTTGTGGTACATTCTAAAATATATGTTCTTAGATCTAACCTATTGTAACATGTTTATATATATAAGTTTAGACTAGGAAAACATGCATCACATAGTCTGCATGAAACATACATGGTTCTGGTTCAGGTTCAGACTGCGTACACGGTCACACAGGATGACTTTGGTGAAAACTTTATGATACATATTAGATTTTTATTCCAGTGTCACAGATCACGAGTGTCACATATGGCGTCTCCTAGTACTTTAATATAGGCAATGCGAGCCTCAATTTAGCTAGTCAGACTCACTAGAGTTGCTCCTAGCACAAACAGAGTTAAATTTTTTCTATTCTTTTTTCAAAGTTTGCGAAAATTAGAATGGTGCGATTTCTTCATCAAAACTATGATGTGCTATTTTTCAACCATTTGATAAATATTTTTGATATATATCAGGTTTTGTAAAATGTACTTTTCATATTGATATTCGAATTTCATCCTTTTGCTAGTTGTGGTATAATATCTTTTTCCACTTGGCTCTTGTTATGTTCATCAAGCCATGAACGAAGATTTGTTAACTATGTATGAGTTTCATCTAGATTATTGATTAAATAATACAAATAAGTGACGCAAATTCATTGAGATCTAGCTCCACTCTCATAATTTTAAAATCAGCATCAATAATTTTATAATGTAACAAATGTCTATTAGACAAGCATCCGTATGCAAAATCAACCAATTAAAAAAATAATATTTCTGAGAGTATCATGAGCTACTTCAACCACAAATTGAACAGGCTTCTGCTCATCAAGATTTGTCAAGTGTTATTGAATTTTATACACATTATAAAACTTTTGGAAATTTTTATCATAGACTTTTCCATCGAGATTGACAAAATTAAGTGATAAGAATACTGTGTTCTTCCAGGGTTTTTTATTTTACTACAGTTATGATAAAAAATGGGCAAATTTTTTGTTTATTTATAGATAATACATAATATGTAAGAGTATCATGTCATGTCAACTATAAAAAAAAGTGTGTATGACTATGATTTTCTAAAAACCTTGTCCAAATTATGTAACTGGACATTTGATTATTCTGGATCCAAAGTCAAAACAAAAGACATATATTGATAAATATATAAAAATTTATGTGCAGCATTAAGCTGGATATGTAGTTTTTACAAAAGCATGTATTGTTAATAAATAAATCATGTACTGATATAATATTTATTAGACTATGATTGGGTAGAATAAATCAGTTATTGGCATAATAGAGCTCTGACACAAACTTAAGCTGACACAAACTAGAACTTAAATAAAATTTTTGTTTATTTCAAATAAGTAGTCTCGTTCAAATGAATGGTTTTCGTTTGGTACAAAATTATTCACTTTTTTAATATTGAATTAAGTTTGAAGATATCTGTTTTTCATTTATTAGCTATTTTTTTACTTGCATGGTTTTTGGGCATTTTTTTTGAAAAGAGCTTTTATGAATCTTATGTAGGTAGTAAAAAGATAAAAAATCAAATCATTATTTTATAACATAATATGGATAAATTATAGTACTGAAATAAAATTATTTCATGATTCATAAAAATAATAAAGTTGAAGGAAATAAAATGTCTTGAATTTCTTTTAGTTCAAGATTTTGACTTTTATGTTTTATATATATATATATATATATATATATACATACATACATACAAAAATCTAAAACAACATTGTGCAACTATTCTTAATTGCACTTTTCAACGATAGAAAATTCATAGATATTTTAATTTTTGAGAAATGGATTTATTTTATTTCCAGTAAGAAATTTTATATATGTAAATATTGAAAATAAGATTTGTAATATATTACGAAAATTCATGTATGAAGCTGTTTTACAAAAATTCCATTATATTTTTTTTGATTTAACCATTATATAAGTTTTAATTTTTGTATAAAAATTATGAAAATCAATATATTTAATATGTATATCAAAATGAATTTGAATACTGGAAATCCATATGATTTTGAACATAGCTCAATATTTTATAATATTTTAAATTTGTGAGAGGATAAATCAATACTTATTGCATTAACGACAGTATTTTATTATATAACACTATTATTTTCAACCAATATAATATTAATGTATTGATATCCTTACATTAAGTAATTACGATCCTCCCTTGAATACTAGTCGATTGGTGTACATGCAATGATGATGCTTTTATATGATGATCTCCAAAGGCCTGTGTTTATCACTCAACATGTGATATGCAATATAAGGAAATATTAATATTATTTAGATAGAAAATCAGGACCTCGGTGTTCTGGTTGGACTTTTTTTTTAATAATCTGAATATGGAATGAACCTTTTCAGAGCATGACTCTAAAAAAATAGATGTTTTTTTGACACTTGAAACAAGCTATACATGATAAAGTAAAAATTGGTAACTAGTTTTAAAGTTTTACAACGTATCATGGAGGTACATAAAGCAAATCTGACCACAAGGAAATGATTCAAAAAAAATTATTTTATCGAGAATGAAGTGAGAAAAACAGAAAAAAATTAGACGGATAAGAAGATCTCATTAAGCCATTGCTCGATGTTTACTCCTATTTATTTACATGTGGTCTAAATGACATATACAATAAGAAAGAGAAATCGATATCCATGTAGCCTACCATTCTAGGCTACATGGTAGGCTTTCCATCACGAAAGTATGGAAGTATGCTGACATAAATCGAAATAAGTCCATCAATAATAGTACTATTAACATGATTTCTTCCTCTCCGTAAGCTACATTGAAAGGAACTTTGACCATTTATGCATGTCAAGGTTTTCGATGGTGCGTCGATGGGTCGTCCTTCCTTCTGGAGTCTTCGTTCGAACGACCTCCGTTCATCGAGATTAACGTTCGGCGCGCGTAGCTAGAGGTCGGCATCGTCGGGGCGGCAGCAACGAGTTTCATGGCTTTGGAATTCAGCGCGAAGTCTCTTTTTGTTCATGATGCGCTGCAAGAAGTGAAGATCCATCATCATTTCTTTTGTTATCCACTCGGCCCCCGTTTGTTGATTCTTCGCTTGACCGACAAGGTGCTTCGGATTTTTTAAGACAAGAGCATATCAGTTTCATGTCGTGATCACGAGGCCGCTCGCTGAGCCACCAGCAATGGACCATCGCTGCACTCAAACTGACTCGACCGGCCTCGTGAGCACGACATAAAACTGAAATGCTCTTGTCTTAAATATCCGCGATGGGCAGAATATTCCGATAATATTCATTTACTCTCACAACTCGTGACCTTCAGGTGCTGGTTGACAGCAAAACAGTCGAGTCGAAAATTCTCGGATGAATCTTCCAACTGAGGTTGTTTGAGTATCACGTTTGAAATATTGTTCATTTGGATGAGATTCTACTCGTCCTTTTGAAGATGGTGTAACTTAAGCATGGAAGTCGTAAATGTTTAAATTATGTTGCTATATAAGTTGTAAAGAGTTGAAAATCCCCAATAACTGCCGACATTCTCTTGGAACTTGATTCTTGAAGTGCTCGAGTGCCTAACATATTAGCCGACCTTTCCTGAATGGTATTTCTCTTTTTTTAATCAACCGAGCAATTTGAGGTGCGGCCTTGGAATTCATTCCCACAACTTCGCAATATAAAGAAACTGCTGTGAAAGTGTGACACATTTCTTTAACAGCGTCCTGAGCACGGTTTACATTGAAGTCTAATTGTAGCTTTGAAGTCCTCGGCATTTTGAAAGGTCTTCGTCACCGAAGATCGTCCGCATTGATAAAAGTCATTGGAGGACAATTACGTGGAATTAAAAAATTCCCATCGTCAAACTGGAATGTGTCTGACGTAGTACTGAATTGCTTCATATTGCCTGGAAGCCTGTGCAGGAGGTATGTACAGTACAGCCCAGTCCTTCCAAGTACCTTCCCGCACGAGCTTAGTATTCTTTGATATAGAACTATAGACTGAATTGCTACCATCCTAGACGCATTCCGGTAGAGCTAAGTCGCTTGAACTGTCGAGGACGGTTGGGAATCTGCGATTGGAAGCAAGTGGGTGGCTAGTGCAATTGGTGTCTTGCTGCAGTGCTATGTAACATCTTTTCTTGGGTGGAACTGTTGCTGTTCACATGTATGTCATTTGCGGTCTACATCGTAGTTAGGTCCGTCACTGACATGCTCGACAGGTCCTCCTCCATGCCAGAGCCAGACTTTTCATCGCATGTGGTCGACGTTCAGACCGGGGACAGTGACAACAATCAGCTCGGTGAGGTAAGGTGACATAATGACGTTAGAGGAATGATGTAAACAGCTGCGGAAGAGAAAGAGAGAAATCGAGTTCACAGATCATTCATACCCCTACCTACCACTGATTTCCCGCTCACAAACGGATTGGCAGAATATGAGAGCTCTTATTAGAAGACAAAACGTCCGTATGTCTCTTATTACTTTCAGTTAGACAGTCTTGCTACATGTGGTCATATGCCATCATTCGAAAGACTGCATTGCAGGGCATGCATAAGATTCGTGCGCTCCTCTTCCAAATCATCGGAGGATGTGGAGACCTGTGTCCTCTCCTCTTGAAATAAGTGGAGCGATTACAGGCACCAGAGCCACGGGTAAAATTAGGTGGTCGGTCTTTTAGACGAAGAACGACCACTGTGACGTTAATCTAACAACCGTGAAGTTAATACACCGAGATTCAGTGAAGTTTGTGAAGTTAATGGAAAGCCAGGACCAACTAAGAGACCGGAACCTCTTGAATCATGGGAACCTTGCTCGATCCCTCTCTGCTGGTGTGGTCTCGAGGAAGTCCCACAAATTGGTCGGTTGGTCTTTCCACTCGCACATGTAGAAGAGTAACTGAAGAATAGTGATGATGATGATGATGATGGAGAAGGGATAAAAGGCGAAGATAAGTAACTTCTTTCTTTCTGTCTTTCTGCACGAAGGGAGAGGATGATTACTCCCAAATGCTGTCGACCTGGGGGTCATTGTTAGAATCATTCGTAGTCTCTGGAAGTTGCTCCTGGAGAGATATAAAAGACTCTGCAGGGTCTTTGGAGAGATGGTGCAGCAGCAGAAGTGGAAAGAAGAAGAGGTTTGGATGAAGATTGAGTCCACCTTTGAGAATTCTTGGGCAGCTCATGCTGTTGCCATCATCGTCGCTGAGAACTGGGAGAGTGAGAGCATGAAGACTGGCGAAGCTCCGTCAACGAGTGTCCTGTCCACTGGGATGAACACTTCCGGAATCCAGAACCTCCCGTCCCCTCCCCACCCCAATCAGTCCACCCACGAGACGACTCATCCGTCGTCCAGACAAATCGTATCCAAACTCCTCCCACCCACTGGCCACTGCTGCTACATCTCGCTCGTAACCATGTCAATATTTATGGAACCTCCTAATCTACCTAACCTGCACTAAACTAGCCTATCTATCTGTCCTTCTATCGGTCTTGCTCTGCGCTAATCTACGACTCTACATCTAGATTACTCTGTTCTACTCCTAAAAGTCTGTTTGTCTACCTTCGGCAAAACTCCTAACACACCTAATGCCTTCTTTGTCAGTCTGTCCTGGTAATCGACTGGTCTGTTGGGTCCGTCTCTTGCCGGAGACGGATATGCTCATCTTGCTATACACCACACGGAAGATGTACTTACCGACCTGATCAAGGTTGATGGCCAGCAGCAGCTGTGCCTGACTGACTCGACCGCTGGAATGATGGGGTCGACGCCGCAGCGCGGCGCAGCGATCGCCCTCTGCCCACCCTCCGGAGAATAGAATGTCGAGCGAGCGTGAGAGGAAGAGCCCCAGCACGAAGCTCCGGCCGGGGAGTCGAGAGCTGCGAACAGCTGCTGCCCCGTCAGGTCGTCCCTCGCTCATGCTTCTTCTGACCACTTCGTAAGCGCACATAATGGACTCTTTTTCCTCAGAACTGCTGAAAGTATAGTATATAGGTCGTGAAGCGCAACGCTGGAGACTGGTAATAGAAAAAACTCTCGTCGTATAACTTTCACTGCGAAGTCCTCCTGCCGGTGTGAATCTTTCGTAGGGGTAGCAGATGCAAGAGCATGCAGGAACACAGCTCTCCTCAGTGTCAAGCGCTATATTTTACAGAGGTTGATGATCCTGATAGAAAAAGAATCGTTCTACATAGCTTGAAGGAGCGGCAGTTGGCAGCTGATCGATCTAGTGGTGGCCACCGATACTGAGACATTTTACAGGGTTCCACCAGTGCGACCTTCCATGTTGGGCCATGGACGACGTCGACAAAGAAGAGTTGGAATGGCTAAGAGACCGGAAAGAATGGGAACGAGAAGAGAGAGCCGTGGAGCCCGAATGAGAGTGGGAGTTGTGGTTGTGTCGTGAGTGGTGGTGACCAACCGAGGAGTGAGAATGTTTGGCAACTTGAGAGCTGCTGTTGAAGTAGTTGGGCCCAACTACGCCGGGTCCCTTCTTGCACAGAAGGAAATGTCTGGAACCCACGCTGCCAATTGTCTGCTTCGGATGCAGAGCTGCAATTGCACAAACCAGACAGCCACCCAGCCAGCAATTCAGCCCGAGAACTTCCTCGCCGAAGGATCTCCGCAAACATCTCTCCTCACAATTCCCGACTGTCCCAAAATTGCACGACAATTCTGACCACCCACATCACGAGTCCCTCCCGACTAATCTTAAATTCTCTAAGATTCCAAATCGATGCCCTTCCTGACTCTGGCACATACGCAACGATCTATTGAATAGCGTATAAAGAACCGAGTCCGACGAAGAACAGCATCTAAGCTTTGAATGAACATTGGACTCGTGTCTCTTCCTCTTGCGAAGATTGGCCGGACACGAGCGGCTTCACACGTGTTCAGCTTGTGAAATGTGCAGATTCAATTCTGATTCAATAGAGAAGCTAGAGCGCAAGACAAGGACGAGATCGTTGTCGCCTGTCGGTGCACGCAGATGGGGGCCATGGGCCCCTTGTGCGTGGGTGTGGGTTAGAGAAGAGGCGAGATGCAGCCACCAGCGTCTTAAGAGAGATGGACCCACAGAAAGAAAAGAGACGACAGAGAAGAGGGATGGCATCGCTTACCAGGTGAGTTGCAGTGAGCGCAAAAAAGCTCGTAATCTTGGCACTCGTGCAGGCCGACGCCTTTCACATAAGAATCCAGAACCATTTCTATCACACTTTCGGCGGGCGCATCGAAGGGCGCTAGGAGAAGTAGAGTGTTAGGGCCTCCCCACATGACAATCCTCAGCAGAATTCGCTGGTCGCTTTTGCCTTTCTGCGAAACAGATACCGACGCACCCAGCGGGTTCAGAATTCTCTCCTTCTCAAAATTGAGCGAGCGACGGAGGCGTTGACCGATTTCTCTCACAGAGGAGATAACCAGTGCACCGGACTCATCGCTGTCTCTCTCACTGGGAAAACTTTTGCAGGAGAGTTGGATGATGTGTGGACTAAACGAAAGGCGCATCGCTGCAACGTACGAGGTGCAAGAGTAGAAGAAGAGAAGCAGGGGAGAAAAGGAGGAGGAGGAGGAGGAGGAGGACTTACATCTTCAAAAGCGGGACTTCTCTTGACAACGCCATCCTTGAGATCGAGGGAGCGCTGTTGTTGTTCGCGTTTGGAAGGGGAGTTAGACATGGATATGCTCTTACTGGAAATACACGAGAAAGACGAGAGCGCCTTCAGGATCTTCTTGCCTGACATTTGCACTTGCGATGGTCTTCCGAGATTGTGCATAGAGTTCTGTCGGCCAAAGCATGTCACGCAAGATCGTTTGTCGCCTGCAGCATTCATTCGTCTCTCCAAATCCAGCATACCTGCCTTAAAAGTTGCTGTAGCGTTTAAATTGGGCGTCGTCATTGCTATAAGATTAACCCGTCTACTAGAATTTTCGTCTTCAGCACTATTGCTGGATGCCATTTCCCATTCCTATTAGCTCGTCATGCTCCTTCCTGCCCCAGAAATGTCGTTGTTGTTGTTGTTGCTCTTCGCCACCTGCTCAGAATTCTTCCTCAATTCCTCCACCTCTGGTCCTCGAAAGGTCTGTCGGATCTGCCACGCTCTGCTTCTCTCTGACCGTCTATAGGTGCAAAATTCTACCGCGGTCGGATAGCAGCTGTCAATCGATTAATCTGTCTATCTATCTGTCTATCTATCTACCTAGCAATCAAATCTCTATAGATGAACTAAGATGTCTTTGTGACGAGGAGCTTTCTCCAGCAGCGACTGCACAAACTCACACACTCTAGGCTAGTCTATGCTATCTGTTTGTGTTGCTGATGAGAAAGTCCGCTCACTCGTCTTCCTCTCTGTTGGAACGGACCGCAATTGGCACCCAAATTCTGTCTTTCAATCATTCAGTCCTTTTCTCTCCTCGCCTCTCCCCTCTCCCCTCTCCTCCCCTCCCCTCCCCTCCCCTCCCGCACTGTCGCTCCGCTAAAGAAAACAGATCACCACCTGCAGCAGAGCCACCACCAGACAACCAGATATTCCCGGGATCCTCCTCCTCTCCACCTGCGGGCTAAAAATAAAATCGCCTTTGGCATCAACCTACAGAACCGAAATTACTCGTCCGAGCATGCTCAACTCCTTCAACGGACCCGGCCCCCTTCAGTAACTGCAATTTCATACCCCCCGGGGCCCCCTCTCTGCTTCTCTTACTCCCTCCCTAACGGTAAACGGGGTAGCAGCACGAGGCCATTCCTCCTTAGCTGTCCCCGGAGAATACCAACTGTCAACTGGGCCCACCCGAGCGATTAGACTAGAAAACTCTCCTCATATGGTTGAGACTCGCATTAGTTGGTGGCCCATGCCATGCCAATGCCAATGCCAATGTGGGTGTGGGTGTGTGGGTGTGATGTTGTTGGTGGCCACATTCGCATTTTCCAGATGGGGCCGCTTCCCCGTCCTTCAATAAGTGCCCTTCCCGTGCCTGGGACTTTCCACATGCGACACGATGAGCTGCGGTGCGCTGAATGCGAGAGTTGCTCCCCCTCTCGCCTTCCCTTCCCTTCCCTCCAGAGAAAAGCCCAAATTCGATTGACTTGACTTGACTCGGCTCGGCTTGATCTTCACCCTTTGCCCTTCCCCTTCCCCTTCCCCTTACTTTCTTTCTTCCTTCCCCGTCCCAGACATTGTCAATGGCGTCCGAAATAATTATTCTAATTTCCGCTGTTGCTATTACGTGAGTTGAACAAGTGAGTTGAGTACGCTTTCGGTTTAATTTTCCTCTTTTCCTGCGTGACTGTGCACAGGGGCGGGCGGGGCAGAGAGGGCGGTACAGAACAGACATGGACAGCGACAGAAGGCCAAGCGGGGCGAGTCATTCGAAGCACACATCTCTTTCTCCCCCTTCCTCTTCCGTTTTCAGACCGCGGAGAGGAGCCTTTTCTTCATGATGGCAAATGTTCGGATCATTCTGAATGCGAACGAATCATTTGGCTCTGCTGAATGGTCCGATAAAAAAGGAACCGAATGTCCGTCCTTCGCCCCATCAGAGCATGAACCGTTGTACTGCACTCCAGAACAGGTAAAGTCTGCTTCGTGCGTGATTTATCTTTTGACCGGCCAGACAACAGTCAAGCTCATACCGTATAGACAGAGGGACAGAGTCCGTTAAGCTTGATTCTCAGATGGTTTTGGCCCCAAGAGGTCATCACATGGAGATCGGCAATCCAGGGACAGAAATTTGCGGATAATCAGATTAATTTACCGATTTTCTGAACGTAACAAACAGACGACCATTGTGTGCTCTGAGTACAGCGCCGCATGACCACTGTGGTCCACTTTTGGGAGGTGTCACAGCGGAGACGAACGCCCTTTTCTTCGGGAGAGAGGTGCCCTGGTGTTGTTTGAGAAAGCGCGACGTCCGAGACGTGCTGACATTGTGGAATATGCACATTGCTTTCTCCACCCCTAGTGATAACGGCTGCTTCTACTCCTAGCCAGCATTTGGGGTTTATTATTGTTTGGTGACAAGATCTCGTAAAATGAATGCAGCTCGAGGATGGGTCTACGCACAACTCACAGCTCCTGTGAAGTGCTCTCGAGGGGAGGGAAAGGGCTCATTCTCCACTGCGACGCGAGCACTGTGCTCCGCTTTTGAGATGAAACTCTCTTCTGTTGGGCTAGACCAGCTAAGACCACCCTCGCGCTCGCCATGCATTCACAGAAATCCTCTGCGGTAGGTGTCCCTTGAGAAAGCACAATATCCAAGAACTTCCACCGTGGATACCGCAACGCTTCCCGGGATCGTTGCCACGATTACTTCATTATCCATGTATTTTTCCTCGCACTGTGCTAGATCCCCTCGAGGTATCAACCTGTCTGTAACCAGGGGTCACAAACTTCGGTCAGAGATTTGTCCCTCCCCTTTCGTCCATTAATCTTCATCGTCGGGTTCCGACCTCGTGGTCATCACAGCAAATTATGTCCCTGTTATGTCTCTGCCTGCAATGCATCCAGCAACCGCCGAAATCACGTTCCGAGTCCTACAGAGGTGGAAGGATTTTCGAGCTCACAAGAATCTGCTAAGGACAAATTCCAAACAGTACAGCCACAACATTCACTCGTCTGCCTAAGCCTGAGAGGAAGAGCCAGGTACCTACATACAAACATATGTGTATAGAGGCGATGTCTCATGGAGGTGCAAGAAAGATGGAGCACGCAACGGCAGGCAGAGCGCTTTTTTATGCTCAAGGGCTTGATGAAGCATGTGCACTGACAAGAACCATGGGGCGGGACGGGACGGGACGAGGCGAATTGCTTGTATCCTGGGCTTTTGAACCGGAATCGGTCCTGAAGATATCATCAATCCGTTCGTCGTCGACCAAACCAGCAGAGATCGTAACCCACTAAGGAGATAAAGGGAAGTAAATTTGCCTCGTCAGATTTTCTCCGGAACAAGTTCCACACAAATAAGACGCTCCTCAACAAGCACAGGCATGTGATTGATGGGGTCGAAACGTGTGGATCTTGTCTCTCGACAACATCATCATCTTCGCGGCTGAGCTCGGTGGATCAAAAGGTACAGTACTTTCGGAAGGGGAGCTCTGAGACGAAACTGGTGACTTTATCACAACTTGGTTTGCTTCGAACCGCGGACTGACGTAGTCAATGCGTGCGCTAGGGGACTATACGAAGATTGCCAGTGGCAAATACACCTGCGGTACATGAGACAAATTGAAGTGCACACTTATCTTCCTTTATCATACGAAGCTGTGGTTGACTCTGGGAATTCTTCGGGAATTCTTTCCAGCGAAGGTCTGGGGCTTCGGTTTCCATTCTTCCGAGCTTGCTTAAGACCTGCGGCAGGCAAACACCTTCCGAAGAATAAATGGATGGACGGAGCCCCACGAGTGCGTCCTTCAGATCAGAGGTCAACTCGTGGTCCCGTAACTTTTGCTTGATGTAACTCTCTGTAGATGACCGAGAGGACGTTCCACTCAACGTCATCCGTCGGCAGAGGAGGTGAGGTCACAAGTTGTTTAAAGACCAAGAGTCGTTGATGTGTGTCTCAAGTCAAGATGATGTCTTATCAGGAAACAGCTCCTTCCAGCTGTTTTGATCTCGACTGAATTTACCAGCACAGAGAAAGTCTGGTAAACCTCCTGGTCCACGTACCGCTCCACGACCCACCCTTTCCCAGCAATCAAATACTCTACTTTTCTATATTTTTCCTTAAAAATTACTGTTCGTTCAATTACTTGCGAATGAAAACATTGATTCGGTTGCTTCTTCGACTGGGATTTCTTTCTTGATGCTCGGTGCACCGTGCCTCGTCTCGTACTGCATGCATGCCTGCCTCCCACTCCTCGAAGTTGACTGTTTGTTCACTGTAATGAGAAACTTGCTTGCTTCCTTTGTCTGTCGACATCATTCGACAAATTTTCTTTCCTTTTACCCCTTATGCTGACGGAGATTCGACAGGCTGATTCAAGGTATTATCTCCTGGTCATGTTTCCTAGTATTCACTTTTAAGTTGGCTGCTAAGTTAACCTTTCACGACTGTTTGCAGACTCCATTTCGACCAATTAAATGGGGCCGAAACGAGGACGTCGACCCCTTGGTATTATTATTTCTTTCTTCCAATATTGTTTGGGGCCGGATACATCACGGCTGCTAAACTAATCTTGGACAACTGTGCGCAGACATGATTTATCCCTGTCAAGTCAAGGCGCGACAGAGGATTCAACTTCTTTGCTCGATCAGGCTAAATCTCTACAGAACGACAGAGTCTGTCTTCTCTCTCGAAAGAATATATTGCATGTGAGCACAGTAAATTCCACTTCTGACACTACGCTCTAGTCGCAAGTCAAGCTGACGACCAAGGTGCGATTCTCTCAACGCGGAGAGTGCAAATACCAAAGCTCTTCTTAACTCGTTTAGTCCTGTCAATTTTATTTTCTTATCTGATTTATTGTACTTAATACAACTTAACTATATGTGATTTTGACCAAAAGCTGTTGACTCGACTGGAGTCACTGACGCGAAACTGAGGTAGATTTGCTGGAGACACGAGTGATACTAACTCCTGTTCTAAAATTGCTTTTGATACCGTTTCACCTGAAACCGAGAGAAATTTCTAAAAGAACAAAAGAACTTATGAGGGATATGAATTTGCGATAACAAAAGGGAAGAACATGAAATTCTAAAGAATGTTACTTTGATGAACCCTTATGCTAAAGTTTCGGTTGTGGAGTAGAAGATAGCTCCAGCCCTGAAGGACCGGAAGAATATATGTTTGAGGTAAGTGAAAAGGACACATGAGAACACACCAGGAAGAAGCATTATCTTAGGCTTTCCGTTTATGATAGCAGTAGAATAGGGCTGAAGAAATCATGTTGGAGATATTCCACCAAATGTTTCTGGATTTATTTATAGCAAGCAAACAAACTAGCAGCAGAGTGAGTGGTGACAGTGGGGTGGAACTGTTTTAAATATATTTCGTACATGAGTCCAGTCCAGTACAGACCGAAAGCCCAAGTGTTTTAGCTCAAATCTCCCCGCGTAGAACTGCTTTACCCGCTGCACTTAGGGAACAAAACCCAAGCCACTGCAATCCTACATTGAGAAACGAGCACAACACGGCCTTCCTTTCTGCTGACACAGGTGAGCTTCTCCGTCTTCAATCGGTTCCAACAGTAGACTCATTACCAGTGAAAGGAAACGTCGAGGCTGTAAATCTTGTGCTGCTAATCATCATGGACCCAAAAGTATTGGACTTTCTCACCCAGAAAGAGAAAAGGGAAAAAAGAGATTCTGTGTTTTCAGGTCTACTGTTGTAAGAATCTGGCCTTGGAGCTCGAGCTGTTGGCGTCTACCTCTATACTCCACAATACCACCGTTACCTCGAGGCACGTTGTCGTGCTAGGCCGCTTTTTTTCCCTTTCAGTGTTCAGCTTCAACATCGACCGGAAGGCTGATCGATGGAATGACCTTTGCTCAGAAACTCTTTACCTCCTCATCGCACAACCGTTTGTGAGGCGGAAGAGGAATTTGACAATTACCCATCTCGAGTGGAAGTGAGAGAATCATGAGAATGAGGATTATCATGATTCCCTCACTTCCACTCGAGATGGGTAATTGGCAACGATCCTATCTACCAACCAACGACCCAACACATGTGCGTGTGATAGAAATCAGGACTTGACTATGAGTAACACTGAGGAGCTCTTATGCCCAATATCGACACTTGCGAGCTCTTAAGTGGGGCCCTTGAATCCCTTTCTCCTGTCAGAAAGAAGTCTCAGAAGAAGAGTACGGACGCTGGGTACTGAAATAGTTTCTGCCGTCAGTCTCGACGTGAAGATTTAGCGTAGCTCTCAGCACATTCAGATCGACTAATTTCCCTAACAGAGCATGATGTTCTGTGACCTGGCAGGCATGTTGCACATAAGCTTCAACGCAATAAACGTTCCAGCGTTCGCAAAGTAGAGCACTTGCTAACCTCTAATCCGTTGGAATTTCAGATGCTTCCAAACACGGCCTGCGTGGGACCACACTCTGACGAACACACGCACATGGTGAACATCAAAGCGTCCTCATGTGGATAAGGTATTTCCCCTTTGAGAGAAGTGACTCGAGACTTGTCGAAGAGGATGAAACCTCATGACGCGGACGAGCAATCTGTTCCTCGTTCTGGGATGTGGTGTACAAGTGGTAACGGGGATATTTGCGGTACTTTACGTAAGGCGGAAGGTGGGCAGTGTTGAGTGAATGTACGAGGAGGTGGTTTTGATGAACCACAACTTCCACCAGGTACCAACCCTCCCCTTCCTCTTTCCATGTTGTTGCGAGAGAAACGAAGAACATCCATCGGATCGCAGAGGAACGGGACTTCTGCCTTATCCAGACTATGCCAGAATACTGGTCCTGTACACATTGAACTTCGACCATGAGTGACGAGACATACAGAGGTAGTAGTTGAACGAGAGGGAGCAAAAGATGAGATTCCATTCCGTACCATTTGCCTTTTGAATCAAGCTGTCTGCTGACGAGAACTACGTGCTCGTGAATCTTCTCTTTCTTCGATACTGCAGATAGATGCAAAGTCCATTATTCTCGAAGAAAAAACTGTTTCAGTAGGGTGTTTGGGACTTTTCACAGGCCTGCCTTTTCCCATCGCTGAGATGTTTGTTGATCTGGCTAGGTCCTCATTTGTTTGTAGCCCAATCTGGTCGAACCGATCTGTCATACAAAGCTCATGATTAGGTGAGCGTGCAACTATTTGACGCTGTTGAGAAAATGCTGAGACCAGCAGTAACTTCTCTTCACCTGAGCGAAATCCATCCCTTCCTTCCGTTCATGTATCGACAGGCTATAAAATGTTGCAAGAAAGACGAATCGAAGTTGATGGGCTCGACTTTACTCTAGAGCCTGTCAGGAGCAGAGAATTAGTTCAACGATATACGAACAATCCATCCGGTCGATCATGCGCTCATCTGACCTGAACGACTCCCAAAAATTGACCTTCTCGAAACGCACCATGCTTGATGTTTGTTGAATTATAGACTGATTGAGCCTCGATCCTGCTCTCCGTTCCTGCCAACTTCGCAACCACTGAACTGTAGCTTCAAAGATAGAAGTCTAGTCTGTAAACATCCACTGATTGAACTCCCCTTTCCATTCGTGTCGCACTAACCTGTAGATGTCAGAACGAGGATACTTACAAGGGATTCTTCGGATTGTCCTTTCTGCATGGGCTTCAATTTATGAGATTGAACATACAAAGAAAGTCTTGAACATAGGTCCACATCCAATAAGCATTTTCTGCCCAAGAGCCCGATTGTCATAATCTGCCTGCATTTCAATGATCGCTTTTCAAAAGCGGTTTCCATGGCAGGACATACAGGCATTGAAGTTTGTACGACGACAACAGTGGGAGCTCACTTCGAGCAACATTGTTCTGTCCGATGAAGAAAACATATCACGGCTGCCGCACCTCAGTCCAGGAGTGAATGAAGAGAGAATCTGATGTGCTTGTGTGCGGGCGTGCTCTGACAGATACTTCGCGTTCCCACAGCTCCCCATTTTCGTAACCTTTCTATGGACATCGCACGTGTAAAACCATGCGTATTGTAAGAATGCGGAAGAAATTATGCCAACAGTGGAGACGATCTAACGAGAAGTCGACAGATGGCTTCCATGTCATTGTCAAGTCATATTTCCATATGCTGAAAAGTAAACACCTTTCAGCTGACACTAATGTGGAAAGGACTAAAAACACTGCTGTCACAGTCCGCTCGTACGCATACACTGTCACATGAGGGAGAGAGTAAGGTCTTGTACAGTTTGCTTGAAAGCGAGTCAGACTGGCCGTCCAGTTTCGAGCTGCAGGATGACTTGATTTCACTCTTGTCCTCGACGACAGGTATGTATGCAACTTTCAAGATTTTGTTCTCCCTCACCGCTGACAATTTGGTGCGATCAAATTATCCTTAAAATAAATCGCGACTTTTTCGTAACAATTTTATACAGGAGTTGATTACAAGTACTCATACATGTATAGTTTATATTAACCTACACAATAATCACTTTTGTGTCAACAGCTAGTTAGGAAGGATGAGTGTTGACTACTGGTACATATTTAACATAAAAAGTGATTGGAATCAAGGTGTTGGGATGATGCATATGTCAAACCCTGGTATAATTGTTTGTAATGAATCAAAGTAAACCACAAAATAAAAGGAGACAAGTATAATATTGCAAATAACTTATGCAATTGCGTGGAAAGGTGAACATCAATCATCTCTATACTATATAGCTATATTTGTGATTTTTTTTCAAACACCTTCTGCATTTAAATCATAGCATTCAGTAGAATTAGAATTCTTGCAAAGGATGTTATGTATGATCTATCATACCTCTGATTACATCAATCTATTTTAAAATTTAAAAATGAATATCTTTATTTCAAAAACGTGTTAATTTACTTTTTGTTATTTTTTTATATCTTTCAAATTACAAAAATTAATTAGTATTTGCAACATTCATGATATTTTACAGAACATCAGATAATTTTAGTTTGATTGTGATTTATTTCGTTATATGGATCAAATTTACCAATTGAATTAAATAAATAATTTCATCATGAGATTGATTTGCTATATATTGAAATTTTGAAAAAAATATGTATTCAAAGTATTTTCGTTCTAAATACTTCATAATTAATGAAAATAAGCAATTATGTGTTTGTTTCAAGCTATAATTGAATTTCATTCATTCCAACTCAGAAGTTGAAATATAATATCATGATCTATAGTGATCTAAATATAATATATGATCACAACAATTACCAGCATATAATTAAAATTCAAAATTTTAAGTTGAGAAATTGATGATTTTGAATCAAATATTCAAAAAAATATATAGATAAAACGATTTAAAATTTGATTCCGAGTTTGCAAGAAAATAAATTATGAAAGTTATATCTGTCAACCACTTATTATCACTTAATATTGTATGATTTCATTACACACATTTCTAACTTTTTTGGACTTTCAATGGCCTTGTAATGAAAATATACTTTCAAGTTTGCTTATATTGACAACTTATAATGGTATATGTCACAATATTCTAAATTCTTTCATGTTATTTTAATACATTCAATGTCGTTATGTATTTGTATACACACTTGCAAAATTAAAGTGTTAACATTTGTTTTTTACTCTCCAAATGTTAATTCATACCATTTTGTTTATATCCTTAATTTACTTGGTAAGATTAGAAACCAAAATTTCTTCGCTTGGTCACATCTGTATGTAAACTGTACTTAAATTTCATAATGAAAATCATTATTGCTCGTTTCAGATCATGCGAGCATTTTGCTGAAAAGTCTCATATCTTATGTGATGTTTACATACATTTGCACTTAACAATGTACATATGCGCAAATGTGATATCAAATGTGTCCGTAGTTAGCAAAATGTTAGCAAGAATTGTAATTGGTTATGATTTATTTAGTTATAAGTTTATATATAAAACCACACATGGGTGTGGTTTTATGTTTCTAAGTATAATTTTTTTAATTTATGAATAAGCTATGAATATTGATTAATTTATAGAAGTCAGGCTATGTAGGAACAAAAACCTAAAATCGCTTTCAATCAATACTTTTTACTTCTATCTATGTGTACAATAGTTATTCAGCTTATTTTCTCTAAATATCACACGCTTGATTCCGAGAAGTAAAGAAAACATGCTGAAAATTCTAAAGTAATAATCTACACATGTAACACCCGTCCCAAAGATTGTGGCATGCGAGAACGTGCCTAATATATCATTCTAAGGCAACAACAAAGATGCAAACTTATAGACAATTCTGTGTGCTTTGATTCGTTCCCATATGAAGAAAGCTTAGGAACAGTTCAACCCAGGGGAATGAGTTGCTCCAGACCTTGGAGTCGAATTTTCATATTTCGTGAACATGATCATAACTGTGAGAATTGATTTTCCTTATATGGGATTAGGAATAGTTTGATTTAAAAAGTGATTTACAACACTAGGTTTTAGTTTGTGAGTAACTCAGATTGTTCAACTTTCAATATCCAATTGAAAGTCTATAATTTAGTTGATTGTTGTATATTATTCAATCCTTTAGATTAAAATGGCAGAAATAGATATATCATAAAAAAATTGTAAATTGATCAAAAAATATAATTTGGATAAATATGGGTATTTCGGTAGAGATATTAATCTTTTGAGACGAATATATTACACCAATTGTGATGTGTATCTACAAAGGATGCCAAAGTGAATGCGAACAACCACTCTAATAAAGGAAAAGGGTGCCAATGCGAGGTTGTGCCAGCATGGTATGAGTGTACGGGATTTTTGTGTCTTGTATCATTCCTGGCACAAGACAAAAGCTTCTACAGGATTAAAAAAAACTTCTGCAGAAGTTCAAGGTGAAAGTTGACGAGCAATTTCTGACGTGATGATAACGCCTGCAAAGCCGATGATGATGGATAACGTTATGCGGCCGCCTGGAACTAATCGAGCTTTCAAAGTTGGTAAAGACGTATCGGAGTATCGCTCTGACCAGGCCATTGCTGCGGGTATGATACCGAAGAGAACCAGCACTGCGTGCACACATGACAACCGAATTTTAGGGGCAAATTGCATGTTCTATATAAATTTCTACTTGTGACTGGGATGATGGCGATGGCTTTCTCACAAAAGTACAAGATCCTCATGTTGCTTACGGAGTATTATCGGGCAAGATCGTGGTAAAATGCCCGTGAATACTATCGGATTACGAAGTTTCACATGCTTGCAAATATATGGAAAACTCGCCACCACAAGATAGAGAGGTACCTCCGTAAGTGCCCGCAAAGTCTAAAGCCTTGAAGAATATACCAGGTGATGTCAGTGCAAGTGCAAGTGGCGGAATTAGAGTCAACAAATAAGGAAGCGGCTGCTTCAATCCTCCCGATGGCAGCTTCAGCACTAACACCATGCAAACATCCACGTTTCTCAAAACTCCAGTTAAACCTGTAGTAATTTGTGCATACAATTTTTTGACCTTGCTATGACCAGGACCTATCACATGAACGTTAAAATCAAATAACTTTACTATATATCAAGGTCTAGTGGAAGGTTATACTCCAGTAAGCAAATTGTGTATGTAATCCAGACTGACAAATTGATCAGATAGAGTCTGAAATCATTTGTTTTAGTTCAAACGTCGTATCATGGCTTGAATCGTACTGATAATGTGTTGAGAGCAAGGTTTCAATGAAATCATTCAGATGATGACAACAATACAAGGGCAAAAAGGCTTTGAGTCTTACAATCTGCGAGGAAGTCTGCCAGCCCCAAGACAAAGCCGATGTAAGAGGTCGCCACGGCGAGAAGAGAGAATGTCTCTATGATGGGCTGCACGGCCATGATCTTCTTGTGAGCGTCAAATGGACCAATATACGTGAAACATTGTTCTATAAATATTGTTTCTAGCGCTATAGGTCTTTCCACCAGCCATATGAGGATGCAAATATATTGCACGTTGTGCAATATATTTGCAACACAACGTGCAATATTATATTGCTAAAAACAATGTCCTTAGAGCTCTTTTGCAAAGTAGGCTTAGAAAATTTACCCCGACTACACCATTCGTTGATCGAAGAATAGCCAAAGGATCTACCATAGTTGGAGCTATATTGATAGAATCACTGACAGCGGGGAAACTCCCCAAAATCAATGCATCCCACACTAGAAACATAACCAGTGGAATGGAAGTTCCATAGACGACAGCTGACCTGTTTACAACAAACTTACACTCGAGAGTCAGAGAAGCCTATTCTCATGCCCCAATCACTAAACTAATCCGCCCAATACTAACAAATCTTCCACAAAATTGTTGGTAATACAAACACCTAAATTGCAACAATTTATCCAAATATTACAAACCTTATTTTTGGTAGATCTCCTTCTAAATCCGTGCAGATAACTGGAACAACGTTCTGGTACAAGACATACACGCCAAACGCATCTATGAAAAAGCAAAAAGCTGATAGTTGATGTCAAATGAGTCTGTATTGTCAACCGAATTTCAAGTACAGTAGAACATATGCTGGTTTGAGTTTTCAGGTCTTCGTCATTATGGTACCTGGTAAACAAAAGAGAGAGCTATCACGGGTACACTGTGTAACACGGCTCCGAGGTTTACTCGTGCCAATGATTCCAAATGCAAATCTCCTCCTGCTACTACCTGATTACAAAGTGAAGATACAAAAAAAGTGAATTGTGAAATGTTGGGAGGACAACCGTGTATGTGACAAAAGACACTGCCTGCACATCAAACATTTCATCTTAGACTTATACACATGGAACCAAGTATATTCCAGGTTTCTGTAAAACCTATGGTCCCAGAAAGTTAAAATCTAACATAATCCTTATCGGAAATTCACCTTATATTGAACAGAGGGCATAAAAACTCACGGGAAAAAAAATGCACAGGTTTACTCTTCTTATTGCTGCTTTGAGTAGGTATTTTTCAAAGAGAAATCTTATCAAATTTACTGGAAGGCAAGGATGAACAGAAATCAACTTCTTCACGCTTCTGTAGGTAGTTGTTTTAGCACCACACACCTGTGACATTCGAACTACAAATAGGAGCTAATAGTCATTGTGAATCAGAAGGAATCAGTCCAAAAGGTGTGTAACTTACAACCAGAGCTGCAAAACTGGTAACGATGCCCGCCACCAAGACTCCATTCACTGCTCCTACCGTGCGTGGACTGCCAAGCCAAGAGAAAATGTCCTCGATAGCAATCCACAACGTGTAGATGACTTCAAAAGAATTCACAAAATAATGTCTGGCAATAACTGTTATCACAAGTTCTTGTATATATTCGTGAAAAGATTGAGATTCTCAACATGCGCACTCACCTAGCGAAGTAACACAGACCACCGATAGCACCAGTAAAAATAAGTCCACTGAGCCATCTGGAAGAAGAATTAGCCATTCACAAAACCGGTCAGGTCTTCTTCCCTACAGTATGAATGCAGCCAATCTATTTTTAATATAAAAGAACTCGAACTAATCTTCCAAGAGGGCTTTATCGACTTGCACGCTCAGCTTGCATCTACTTTCTATACTTGTCAATAATAAGAGATTATTTCTGGCAAATAACCAGGATATTTGAAAGCCGATTTCCCCAACACACATCAATAAAAATTGGTGTCTGGTGAAGCGAGACATGCTTTTGTGCCATCAGACTGTACAGATACAATTATAGGATTCATGGTTAGATGCAATGAGAGTATTCGTAATCTGATCCTGCTGATCAGAAACTATATCATCATTTTGCCTTGAAGACTTTAATTCCATGCATGATAAACCTTCATATCCAGCAAGACCCTAATTCAAATAATCATTCAACACGAAGAACAATACTGAGAAGAATAATGACCGCAATAATATGACTGCAATGGGGTATACGAGCACTCACAAGGGAGAGCCAATCGAATTTGAAATGATCTCGGACGAGCGAGCGATGTAGGCGACCAGAAGTGCATAGTGTATGAATATGTATGTACCACTGCTCCTCAGTGAAAGCCATCCCAACATAACCATGTGACAATTAGCTGAGCACTCAACAATGGGCACTACAATGCAGTTTGAACACAGCTGGAACTGAAATCACAACAAGCTAATGTTGAATTGGTCCACAGTGGTAAGAAGCACACCTTACCATGCGACTCTGACACCAGGTCGACCCAAAGTACGATCAGCCATGGACACCTGCTCCAAAATGAAAAAATATCACAGCTATTTATTTGTACATATACAGGATATCCTATCGGAGCTTGTCCTTGAATTTTATAACATACGCATAAGAAAAAAATAAATTATTTCAATAAATCAACGGACCAATATGCAATGTCCGTATGTCAATGTTGTACATCGAATCGAATTTGCTCATATTCACAATATTCTCAGTCTCGTGCGCAAAAGAAACTAGATAATGAGAAACATGATACAGGCAAATTCGTACTTCAAAGTCTTAAAGTCCACTCGACTTTCCATCTGCAACTATTTCATCATGCTTCTGATTTCTAGCTTCAACGCTATTGAAATCTATGAGCTTTTGCTACTTGCTGGAAAGGGTCATGGAAGAAACAACATATCAAGCAATGAGAATCATATTATGACAAGAGTCATACGATTGATACGCCCCCTGCTCCAAGCTCGCACATAGTGTTGACATTCACTTCAGCAACCAGAAGACCCGTCCCAACCTGTATCAACTCAATACCTTGCTCTGATCAAACACTTAAGTTGCAGAGCTGCAGTGTTCACTTTAAAGATGAAATAAACTTCATGGTTCTACTACTGGCATCGACAGTGGAGCCCACGGGACCAAAATGAATGAAGATGAAAGTCTGACGAGAAGTTTTACCATGTATAACCAACAAGTTACGACCGTAGCTGAAGAAGCTAAGAAGCCAGCATCCTGTGTTACGGCTGGAATTGCGAGTATTCCTGCTCCAATCTTGTACAGACCACAAAAGAGAATCCAGCGTAATTCAGTCAAGTGCCCCGAATGATTTCATAAGGCAACAAGACTCAAACCTTGGGAGTCCCGGTGAATGGCCAGAAAAATCAATTGAAAGAGAGTTACAGAGTTAAGTGACTTTAAAGATGTACCGTAGTGCCAGCGACAAGCAGGACGGCGCTGAGCAAATTTCCTGCTCCACAAGTACACCGAAGTTAGTGAAAGAAGTGCATGTCTTCAAGAGAAGTGGGCAGTCTCTACTAATCACATTCTATTTCAATCGGCTTTTATAACCGATGGCAATCACTCAAAATATATCAACGGCTCACAACCAGAAGTAAAATTTATGCCGTGTTCTATGGCTTAAAACTTCGCAGCTAATGTTTCATACTAAAACATGTTCTTACGCTCAGCTCTACTGGCTATAAGTTAACACCTCTGTCTGACGTAAAACATGGAATTGCAAAAATGAGAATCTCAACGAAAATTTACAAAATTGTAAGCAATATAATTGATTACAGTGTACATAACGAACGTATGCTTCTGAAATTTATAGTGTTAGTTTTATCAGCTTGACCACGTACTTCACCAATGCAAGTACCCTAAGTGCAAACTCCGTCTACAACGAATCTGTGTAAACAAATTATTGGTCATGACTGGAACGTTGCATTCAACCATGGGCGAGCGTCATAGATAAGATTATGTGTGGAGCTACCGCAATTTTCGGAAGTAAAATTTGAACTCTGCTGGTCCACAATCTCCCTAGATTGCTCGAGCCATGACAAGGAGATGTATTTACGAAAATGTTCTGGGTTTTGCTCAAAAACTTGAAACGCAGAAGCATCATTTTCATGAAATTTTCTTCAATTATTTTTTGTTCCAGTCCTGAAGCAATTGATGTTACAAGGCTCTGAAAAATGATTTTCGATGTTTGTGTAAAATTGAGGTAACGTGTTCAGTATCGAATTTGACAGAAGTAATGTGTTCTGTATGATTGTACCGGGCTCATGTTGCAGAGTGGCTTGATTCACATTTGAAAATAATCTCTGCTGCAGCTCTGCTTGAGATTCGGTCAGAATCTCAATATCTTGGAGGACGATATCGGCCACTTCTGAAGAAACTTCTGTCTCCGAAGAGGTTGAAGACTCGGGCTTTTGCACTGCCAAAATTTGAGAAGCTCGCGAGTGCCATAATTTTCCACGGTCCAACTTCAAGACATCCTCCTTCTTCTTTCTTTGACCCTTACCGCGACTCCTGTTCCATCCTGTGTCGAAAGCGCACGCGACTCGAACGCGCTTCCTCCCAAAAAATGTCACACGATCAGACGCTGGAAAAGGAGGAACGCCCAACGACACCACGCCCAAAACTCCACTCATCATTGGTCTCCACAGAACCTCGTCTGCGTCACGACGCCCGATTGCGCGCGGCCGAAAGGCTGCTCTCGATTGAGATTAAGAGCGGCTCGACATTCATCGACATGACGTTCGATCGATGTTCAAGATTCCGCTGAAGCTGTTCGGAGAATCGAGGCGCGCCTACGACAGTGCTACATGCGGGATGCCAAGTCAGTACGACGCTCCTTCTCTTATCAGATCTTCTGACCACAATGGCTTGCACACGGCCACGTCGCCCTGCTCGGACGTCATCTCACGTGACCTTCCGCTTTATGCGAAGACGATCCAGAGGCCAGCTTCTTACGTGAGTTTTGAATTTCAGTTTATTTCAGTTATTTTAAGATTTTTCTTATTTGATGATGAACTCCTGTTCTACTGTGTGGTTCAATATGATGTAGAGACGTCGCTCATTAGAGTAGGGGGACATGGGCGAGACGAGAGTAGGTTAATAGGAAGTAATTAGTTTTTCTAAGCCATTGTAAGGATACATTTCGCGTACAGTTACATTGAATACTTAATTTTTTCTATTTTAAATATATGTTTCAATGGTTTCTAATTTAAAAACCTAAAAACTTGAAAAAATAAACATATCGAAGTATATATTGTGAAAGGCCTCGAGTGATTCTTTTCATCTCTTACGCGCGTTTATTAAGTTGAGTTTTAAGCTATTTTATGTATTTTATCCTTCATCACTAGAATTATAAAGTTATAGAAAGGAGCCTGAAGTGAAGAACCCTTCTATAATTCTATTATCCCCATGTGGTATTCCCGATGTACACCGCATTCATCGCGGCTCCGCAGAGCATTATTCCATTGCTTAAAAAATGACAGGTTTGACACTGGACTCACAAAAATTAGAGTCGAGAACAAGAGAAGAGTAGCATCGCGAGGTTTCATGACTTTGAGAGTCTGAAGCTATTTTAGAGGTAGCACCCACCTACCCAGTTAAAACTATATCCCGTACTTTCATCTCACCAATCACAAATCTCTACAGACAAGAGCATAATAGGCTGAATGATAATTAACCAAAAATGATGGATAACTAACCCCTCCATTATAGAATGAAATAAGTGTTTAATCTTCTAGTAGGCTAAGACTAAAATCTACTACATATTAAAATCTTTGGTATGGAGACTCATGGGAATCGGGATGTTAAAGTTTTACGGTTCAAAAGTAAAAAGTGTTCAAACCATAAAAGCTTTTTGATTCTGAAAATTCTTGGAGTGGTTTAAAGCTCAAATGAAATATATGATATACCTTGTGTTAATAGTTTTTCTTTATTATTTTATAGAATCTATTGTATAAAATTTTAAGGTAAAATATATGTTGTTAGATTTTATTTCTTTATATATAAAAATGAAAGAAAAAATTAGATTTTTTTTCTTTTGAAAAAATCACAAAGATGAATTTTATTAAAAAAAAATTAACCTATTTTATTTAATATATTTAAATTAACCAAATTTCAATCCTGAAATTTTTTAATTTTTGAGGAGGACTGATAAATTTCACTCAATTGAAGAATTCACGATTGAAAGGTTATCCTGTACCAAAATTCCAATTCAAGTAGGTGATTCTGAACACATGAAGACAAATAGATAAGCTTGAGTTAAAAAAATTAAACGCACATTTTTATGTTAACTTTAGACTGAAATTATTTTACTATCAAAATCTTGAAAATATATGAAATAGATAGAAATTTTCAAGATAAATTGATCACTTTTTTCAAATCTGTTCTTCAGTGCAATTATCTTTTAACATCATAATTAGAAAGAATATTCAATACATAGCAGTGTGACCAATCCTCAACAAGAATTTTTCTCTATAAATAAAAAAAAATAAAAATATTTCAAAGCATAACTTATTATGATGGAAATATATGTATGTTAAATTGGAAAAATAGTCTAAGGAAAAATTGCATATACAAAGATAATATTATGATAGAATTTTTCTGTTCGCAAGAAATTAGCGAAGAAACAAATGGAAAAAGTAAGATATTCTATAACACAAAGCTTCGTGAAAACGAACGATGTGAAGTACATATCAGTGAAGAAAACAAACTGAACAGTTTCTGTAGCATTCAAGCCACAACGGTCTACAAACAAATGTCTTGTTGTTTGGTAAAAACAGGCAATGTGCGATGTTTACGCACATGGGTATACTACGAACGTCGGTAGGTAGAGGACACAATTAATGGAAACATTATGTTCAAATTACTTATCCATTGTGCCAAAGCTTGTGCCCTGCACTCGCTGGCCTTCTCTGATTTGTTCCGACGCGTTTGTGTCGGGACTCGGGACTTCTGTACTTGTTGTACTGTTACTCGTTCCCGTTCAGTGGAAGAGGCCAGTCGCTGTATGTTGACTTCAGTCATGAGCCCGCGAATGGCGCAAGAAGCTTCACCAGCAAGGAATCGAAGCGCACAGACGCAAACGTGCACACACCGAATCGCCGTCGCTGTGTCGACTATATTTGAAGGGATGTCTCGGATCCCATTGATTGTCTCGTATTTGGACCCGAATTGTCAACTATGAAGGAAACCAGCAGAGAGATGCGGTGTTTTTCGCTCCCGAGATGTAGATTCGACGCTCGTCATGGCAAGAGGAATCTGAATTGAGAATTATGTGGTCTAGGGCTTCGGAAGGTTGGGAGGAAGAGGTAATTTGGCAAGATGTTGGACTTCCACGAGCAGATTGTCGGAGAGGTCGTTCAGGAAGATGGGATTGTAGTAATGGGCGCAGGATTAGGGCTGCCTCAGGTTTTGGCATCACTTCTTACTCTCCATTCTCCTGCTCAAGGCCTCATCCTCATTCTGGCTTCGAGCGATTCCGAGCGGGAGTATGTGCGAGAAGAGATGCAGGCGGTGGATCCCCAGGCCAGTACTCTGGTGGAGATTAATAATGAGTACACGAGTGCAGAGAGAGTGAGCTGCTACGCCAAAGGGGGAATGTTTGTCATCACTTCCCGAATCCTCATCGTCGATATGCTTAATGATCGAGTGCCACTTCACAATGTGGCGGGGATCATTGTCTGTAATTGTCATAAGGTTACCGAAACTTGTGCTGAGGCATTCATTTTGAGGCTTTACCGCCAAGCAAACAAAACAGGATTTATCAGGGGCTTTTCTGACAAGCCACAGCAAATGGTCGCAGGATTTGGAAAAACCGAACGTATAATGAAAAGCTTGTTTGTGAGGAGATTACATTTGTGGCCTCGATTTCAGCTCTCTGTGAGTGCCGCCTTGGAGAGTCACCCGCCGGATGTGATCGATATTCGGATGCCTCTGACTCCTGCAATGGAAGGAATTCAAACAGCAATTATAGAAGTTATGGATGCTTGCTTGAAAGAGCTGCGGAAAACGAACAGGGTTGATATCGAGGAATTGACGGTAGAGAATGGTCTTTTCAAGTCATTTGCAGAGATAGTTCGGAGGCAATTGGATCCAATTTGGCATACTGTCGGGAGGAAAACAAAGCAGCTGGTGGGGGATCTGGAAACTTTGAGGAAAGTTGCAGAATATCTTCTGAGATATGACGCCGTCACTTTTCTCAAATATCTCGACAATCTTCGGCTGTCAGAGGGCGCAAGATCTGTTTGGCTTTTTGCTGCACCAACTCTTCGAATTTTTGAGTTGGCCAAGCGAAGGGTTTACAAGATAATGAGGACTAATTCGAAGGTAGAGGTAAAGAGTAAATTTATTACGGCACAAACGCAACCGCGGAAACCCACAAGGGCTCCTTCAAAGCGCAAAAGTGCACCCGAATCAGCCCCGATTGGTTTTGGAATATTGAATGGAGTTAGTCAGTTTTCTGATGGGAAGAGAATCAAATTAGAACCTTCCGAAACAGGAAGTGCAGCTTCCGTTCTGGACATGCGCGAGGATTTGGTAATGCTTGACATGCTCAAGGATGCTGAGAACGAAAACAAGGAAGAAAGAGAGACGATTGCACCTGCAGACACCCAGAGCATTGAGCTCGATGTTGTCGTGGAGGAGATGCCGAAATGGAGAATTTTGAGGGTACGTACTGTTCTTTGTCAAGCTTTTGTGGTCCTCTCTTGGTAATCCTCGTTCAGGAGTCTGTATGTAGGGAATGATCTCTGCCTGCACTGAATTTTGTTGCATTTCTGAATTTTCCAGGAATTTGTATATTCTGGATCGTATCTTGACATAGTTGGGATCAAAATCATTTAAGCGCAATTTTACAGGAAGTGTTAGAGGAGATTGAGGAAGAAAGGAAGCAAGTAACTGAAGCTGCCACAGAAGAGACTATGTCTCAGGATGCTTGGGGTGAAGGAGGTGGAGCAGTACTCGTAGCCTGCAAGGATGAACGGACATGTTTGCAGCTCAACGACGTTATATTGAAAGGCCCGCAGAAGGTACGTGGGTATGATATAGTAAGTTCAACATCAAAAGTTGGAGCTTGAGCTCTCATGTGTTTAGTAGTAGGCTGCTGAATACAAGCGCTCTTGTGAATAAAGTCTGAATTTTAATTGACTGTATAAAGATTTTTCGTGTCCAGTGGATGTAAATCCTGTAGATAAGTAACTGCTCTTTATGTTTGATTATGCAGCTGATGCGGGAGGAGTGGAATAGATATCTCATCAGTAAAGTAGAGCTGCAGAAGATACGCCAGCGTGCAAAGAAGAAGGCCAGTTATAGTAAGGGCACAGGAAGCATGGGAGTAGGAGTGTATAACGGCGTGGTCCAAAATAGGATGAATGTAGTCAGAGAGAACTTTAGTGGTGCACAGCAGCAAGAGCAGGATGCACTTCTGGCAGCAGCTGCCCAAGTCGAGAAAGAAATTATTGTTCCTAATGAACAGATCGTTGAGAATGGTACTAAGGGCCGAGGAAGAGGGAGAGGACGAGGACGCGGGAGAGGAAGAGGAAGAGGGAAGGGTAGAAATAGCGATAAGGACGTGGATGGTGGCGGGGTTAAGAAGAAGAATGGTACAGGGAGAGGTCGATCGCACACAGAAAAGAAGGACGCAGGTGTTGAAGAGATCCAGGATCCCAACTCAGCCTCTAAAATCTCAGGCGAAGCACTAGGTGCAGATCAAAGTTTTGCCGGGCCGCTGGGCTCGTCAATGGAGCATGAAATGCCTTTTAAAGCGTCTGAAGAAAGTTCTGAAGTTCAGGAAGATGAGGGAGCTAGAAAACCCGTTCCCCCAGTACACTACTATGCGTTGGAGAGCAAGCAACGTGTTCTTGATTTGATTAAGCCACACTTTGTGGTCATTTATGATCCCGATATGAGTTTTGTAAGAGAATTAGAAGTTTACAAATCGGAACATCCACTTCGGCCTCTAAAAGTGTATTTTCTGATATACGAAGAATCCACCGAAGGTCAAAAATTCGAAGCTAGCATTAGAAGGGAAAATAATGCATTTGAGTCTCTCATCAGACTGAAGGCTTCACTACTAATCCCAGTTGACCAGGTTTTTCCTCGATGCCATATATCACCTAGCGAAGCTAGTATCTGGTGTTCCATTTGTGGCCACATATGACCACCACAATGTCGTGCTGTTTTTTTAGGTTGTAAAACCTCTATTTTCTCTCAAGATGTTTTATGTCATGTTTGAAGACCCGCCGCCGCTGTCTTGTCACTGACAAGGTATTTGGTTGTTCCTGTGTTAGTCGTGTCAGTACAGTATCGAAGTTATCATCAAGAACTTCGAGCGCATTTTGGTGCACGCAGAATAGCTCTATTGTTGCTGCCGATGATGAACCGGACTGAATTTGTTGTATAATTTTTCTGTGTCTTGCAGGATGGACGATTGCTAGACATTAGAGATCCGAGTCAATCTGCGACTGGAGTTTCCTTAGCACCATCAACTAGGAAGGCTGGTGGCAGGAAAGTAGAAGCGAAGCAAATGCAGGTCGGTATCCATGATCTTCGTACTGCATATGGTTTTGTCTGCGGGCAACGACACTATACGTGGATTGTCCCCCTTTCTCTTTGTTAAAAAACTGGTAATCAATGTCGTTCATGGGCTGAAAAGCTACTTCATTCGGGATAGCCTGGTTTTGCCAAGCTCAGTTGATATAACCTCTTTTTCGAGCTGTGCCCATCATGATAACGTGGGGTGAATTGTGCAGGTAATTGTCGACATGAGAGAGTTCGGAAGTAGCTTACCATGCGTATTGCACCAGCAGGGGATGCGCATATTACCAGTAACTCTGGAGGTTGGAGACTACATTTTGTCACCTGATATCTGTGTAGAGCGGAAAAGCATATCAGATTTGTACTCAAGCTTCGCATCAGGTCGTCTTTATCATCAGGCCGAAACCATGACACGGTACTATCGCCTTCCGGTGCTACTCATTGAGTTTGCACAGGATAAAAGCTTTTCTTTGCAGGTATGTTGTATGTTCATGCATTTCCTTATTGCAATTTCTTTTCACAATTCGTGGAGTCATCACTCCAACGGAAAGTATAAGATTGAAGCTTGTGAAGTTGTCATGACAATCTATGGCGGCTTTACATTGAGGACAAGCTTTTGAAGCTGTTGATCTTCTCTGCGCTTTTATGATAATTTTGGGATGAGAATGTGGAAATGCTTGTAGAATGGAGATTAACTGACGATTTTTCTGGGAATCGCAGTCAGCAAGTGACGTAGGTGAAGACATCTTGCCAGCGAATATTGTATCGAAAATGTCTTTATTAGTACTTCATTTCCCACGACTGCGGATCGTGTGGTCCCGGAGTCTCCATGCAACAGCCGACATATTTGCTTCTCTAAAAGCCAATCAAGATGAGCCTGACCTAGAGCGGGCCATGCGTGTTGGAGTTCCCACTGAAGACGGCCTGATCGAAGGAGACATGAGGTCAGTGTACCATGTACCCGTGCGTTTAGATCGATCGGAGTGTGCGTTTAGTTCGATCATATTAATATCGATTATTGCGAATAGGCTGGATGGATTTAGCTTTGTAGTAACTTCTCTGAGATGACATGTTCTATGACCTACCATGACAGGGCTGAAAACTTCAATACAACCGCAGTGGAGCTGCTTCGTCGGCTCCCTGGTGTCAGCGATGCCAATTACCGCTCCATTATGGACAGTTGCAAGAGCTTAGCAGACCTGGCTCTGACGCCTGTGGAGCGACTGGTGGAGATAATGGGAGGTCAACGACCTGCCCGAATGCTGAGAGACTTCCTCGATGCTAAGTGTCCTGTCCTCTGAAACTCTCTCTACACTCTCTTCCATCAGCAGCAGTGGCGTCTATTTATTGAATTCACATACATCCTCGACACAAGGATGAAAAGCTTCCGTCACACAGTGGAGCGTATTTGCTGTACTCAAAATGGGGAGAGGAAAACTTCGTTGTACGCTAGGCAATCTGTACATTTGTTGTCATGCAGTTAATCAGCTTGGAGCATGGCAGAGCTCAAGCACCCTCGATACAGTAGTTAGTTCCTGGGGTCCTTGATGTCTGACACAGCGTTAAATTTCAGGGGCGTGTGTACTTTACAGGAAGGAAAGAGTTGATTCTTGGGTGATGCCCTTTGCATTAGGCTGCGCGCATCACCCATTGTGGACACCTTGTCCACATGTCAAGATAGTAACTTACAGCATACTAGATCAAGTATGTAACTGACACGAAGGTTGGAAAATAAAGGTTCTGGATGACTGGATGGACTTATCAGATGACGGAAATTCATTTAAGTTTTTTCTGAAATATACAAAGTGCTCCTTCCAAAAAATCACTAAACGGTTCTCCTGGAGTATAGATTGCATAAGTTTGTTGAAACGGCGGTTTTGTTATCTAACGATCGGGGCTATAGTGGTTAATTCCAAAGACCATTCTCTCCTGGTGAAGGTCCTGAGATAGACGCTCTTGTATTGCAAGGATGTGAATACTGAGGCGGCAAAAGATAATCTTCTGTACTTACGCTTCCGCCACATCTTGCTTTCTTCCTATAATACCACATGAGCCAACGGACTGGGGAAGACTAAGAGGGGTGTCCTGACATTGACGATTATCAACAAGGATTTTTTCACCTCAATTTTTTACTTATGAATCTAATGAGAAATAGTGTGGGAGTTGACATAGTGGTTTGCAAAGAGCATGGCCATAGTATAATACAGTGTAGGTACATGCTGCATAAAGGCATACCTTGTTATCACACTAGAATACATATACACACTAATGTGAAACAAACAAATCTATTTTTCTTGTCAAAATGTTCAGAAGAGGTTTTTCTTATTTATTCGAATTATGTTTTCATGCAGTCTTATTTTTCATTTTAATCACTGTATAGGCTTATAGACTTTCTTTGTGTGCCCTAAGTTTTCCAAACCTTTCTATTATACCTAATGTCATGTCTAATGCCAATGGAGTTATATTCGCTATCAACTCAAATGATTTATATGTTGTTACAAACTCATTATAATACAAGAGTGCATCTACATAAGTATGACACAATTATATATTCTATGAAATCATACCTCTTTCGTATTCAACATATCTGTATATGAATTCTCCTATATCAACACAAGTGTCTCATACCTAATACTTAGGTTAGTGCTAGAGCAGCCAACTAACGTTTGGATTTTTCTATATCGAAGTAGACATCTAAGTTACTAACATGTATGGAAATTTGTGGAATCAAGATAAGAGGCAAGTTGCTACGATGTGCTATTAGTCATGTGTCTTATATCCATGTAAGGAGCAAAACAGCTTGCTTTCAGATTGCAAAAAGTACATCTACACGCCCAACATATGCCATGCTCCTAAACAAAAAATACATATAGATATGTTGGCCATCTTTCAAACTAATCAAAGTAACACAAATCTCATACTTGTCCACAACACAATAATACTGGAAATTATAAAATCAAAAACAATTGGAAGATATCCAAACATAGGCAGAAAATAATTAAGATGTTTTTATGAATCACATCATCACAAGCTGATATATTATCAAAGCTCAAGAAGTGAATTTTGAATAATTGTATCTTCATATTTTGAATATGCAACTTAGAACCTTGCAAACTTGTAAAACTGAGCAACTCAAAAGTTACAGTCTTCATTCTCAAGATACAAACATATTGTGATAGAAGATATCCTTGCCACAAATATGAATTTTATACACGAAATCTTGTCTTGATCTTACCATGGATGGATTCTTGCTCGTAAAGCAAATGTATAAAAAAACTGTGGATTCTCACCAATGTTCTCATATACTTGTCCATATATCCTCATAAGACAAGAAAATGAAGAGATTATGATAAAAAATACACTGTCCATATATTATATTTGAGAATCATCACTTTAAGCTTAAAAACTCAGAGATAGACCTTTCTACAATTTTCCCCTGGTACAAATGCAATCGCAGTTGAAAAAAGTATAAGAGTTGTTGATGTTATCACAACTTTAGAAAAGAATAGTCGTACCGCTGTACCCTATTTTATGTAGAAAATAATCTCCCCATCAAATCGGTTCGCTCAGGTCAGCACTTGTTTTTTCTTTTTCATTTATGCACGTGGAAACAGCTCCGGCGACAATAGTACCATTTCAGAGCAGCATTTCCACATGCCATAAACGTTCACATGAGCGGGGTGGGCGGCCAAGTCCCCTTTTTCGAACCCGGCCGGCGTGAGTTTGACTGAAAACTCGAGTCGCGCTTTCTCGTGCCCGCGACCGCAGTTCATCCAAACCGCACCCGGGGCTCGATCGCCCGCGTCGCAGTTTCGCCCATGACGTAGCCTGCCAATTGCGACTAGAGTGCAGCACATTCAGCGACGTCGCAGAACGAGCGACGCAGGGAGTCGTATATTATAAGGGCGCGGTGCAGAGGAGAATGAGCGGCGCAAGAGCGATGTGACGAGACGATAGGAGAGGCAAGGGACGGGAAGGAGAGGGGCGCGCATTGTTGCAGAGCATCGATTAAGCGAGCGAGCGAGCGAGCGAGGCATCGATCGAATTCGACAATGGCGTCGGCATCGGCTTTTCTGCCGTGCTCTCGATTGCAAGCGGTGGCCAGCGCAGGATTGAACGCGAGCGTCTCGGTGTCGTCGTCTCGAGCTTCTTCGTCGGGCGCTTCTTGCTCCTTTCCCGGGGCTGCGAAGCGAGTGGTGGCCGGAGGGTGCAGCACGAGGCTGCGCGTCGCTCGATGCTGCAGTTTTTCCGTGGAAGAGGAGAACGAGGATGTGGTCGGGCCTCCCGTGTTGAATTTTCAGCCCAAGAGTAACATGCCGGAGGCTCCTCCCGAGTGGAAGGAGAAGGAGGCCGAGAGGGTCGCGCTGATGATCGAGAAAGAGGGCATCAGCATCAGGCGCCGCCCCGAGACCGGGCCTCCGCTGCACAATGTTGGCGCTTTCCAATTCAAGCTGCAGAATGCCGGGAACACTCCGCGCAATATTTTGGAGGAGATTGTGTGGAGTAAGGATATCGAAGTCACCGGGATGAAGGAACGGATGCCCATTGGGACATTGAAGAGGCTGCTTGCTACTGCAGAGCCGGCTAGGGATTTCGTGGGTGCTCTCAGAGAGAGAGCCGCCGAGACAGGAGTTCCGGGGCTCATTGCGGAAGTGAAGAAGGCGTCTCCGAGCCGAGGAGTCATTCAGCCTAATTTTGATCCCGTTCGAATTGCGAAAGCTTACGAAGCCGGCGGAGCGGCCTGCTTGAGTGTCTTGACAGACCAGAAATATTTCCAGGGCTGCTTCGAGAATTTGAAGCTGATCCGTGCTGCCGGAGTCCAATGCCCTCTGTTGTGCAAGGAGTTCATCATCGATGCCTGGCAGCTCTTTAATGCTCGCGTCCATGGTGCGGACGCCGTCCTCCTGATCGCAGCTGTTCTCCCCGATCAAGACTTGAAGTACATGAGCCGGATCGCCAAGTCATTGGGTCTGGCTGTATTGATAGAAGTACACAGCGAACGAGAGATGGATCGTGTGCTTGCCCTTCCAACGGTGGATTTAATAGGAATCAACAATCGAAACCTTGAAACATTTGAAGTCGACATCCAGAATACTGTACGACTCCTTGAAGGAGAGAGGGGCCAGGTAATTCGTGACAGAGGCATTCTCATGGTGGGCGAGTCAGGCCTTTTCACACCTGCTGACATAGCAGTCGTCCAAAATGCTGGCTGTGGTGCGGTTTTGGTAGGCGAATCGCTGGTAAAACAGGACGACCCGAGGACAGGAATTGCTGGATTGTTTGGAAAGGATATATCAAGAAGTCCAAACCCTACTTTGGAAGTTTCTGCTGCCTAAACTTCAATCCAGTTTTGAAGAATGTATTTTGTATCTTGTCTCAAAGTCTGTGATCTACAGGGTGTAAGATAACTGCCCAGTGGCTCAATCTGTGCTCTGAGAATCCTGGGAGTTTTGGTACCTTAAATGTAAGAATCGCTCTTGGAAAATGCTTCAAGCAGCCGCGGGTTGTACGTAGTTAGATAATAGACCTGTTACGGGGAGAACATTCAGCAACAAGTCTTGGCTTCACAAGTGATGTCACCTTCCTATTGATTCAGAGTATATTCGACCTGCATTTCGGGACCAGTGAGGCCAAGACTTGAGTATATGTAGATTATATCGACACTTGCAAACTGGCATGCAGTCAATGAACTCGAAGCTTCTTAGAACAGCGGTTTATAGGTGACATCAAGTTGTGCCGCATGTTTTCACGGCTAGTTTCCGTCATAGAAGTGAGGAACATTTTGGCTCTATTCTTCAATGGAATAAACATCGGCGTCGTACGCCAGTCTCTTAAACGTTCTAGGTGTCTTTGGAAATGCAGTTGAATGAGAATGTCGACACCGGATTCGAGCACTCAAGTGAAAGCAGAGCTTCTAAGATATTCCTAAGACTTTGTAGAGCGCCGAAGGATATTTGTCAGCGTGATCCATGTCTCAAAGGCACATGTGGTTGAGAATTGCGGTGAAGAAGGGGACGAGATCTGTGAAGATCTTTGAACACATTTTGGTTTTATGCACCGATCCTTATGCTTGATGACTTCTGCGTTCTCATCACAGCATTTTCTGGCGCACTGCACATGCAAGATTGTTTTATTCGACTAGCGACTTCTCAATTTCCTACATGGTGTAATAACTTTAGAGCATCCAGATTCACAGTTCCACTTATACCCGTCAACGAGCAGTCATGAAACTTGTACAGAGGAGGTAGCCAAAGGACAACTTCGAAGCAGTTCTAATTTTGTTATCAAACTCAATATCAGTCCTGCTCTGATATGTCAACATGTACTCATTACCGAAATTGGCCTAAGGTACCACGACGTTATAAAGAATTAATAGGAAGCTGTAAGCGGGAAGCTTTTAATCCCTGCAAATCGAATATTTACAGCGATGGCCTCAGACAGCTGTACAAGTCGCGAGTAGATGGTTTTATGCTTATAAGAGAGCGACAAACTAACCAGTGTGCGCAATATCCTCGGCTTTTTCTGTAATTTCGGTTGTCAGGAGTTCCTTTGATCCGAATATCTACTTCCTGAGTGGCCGGTAGTTATAGCCGAAATATTGAAAGTGAACAAGTTGTACAACCTTCTGTACCCTCTCCTGCATTAAGACCGTCGAGTCTCATTGCTTGCGTCTTCTTTTCAATGCATATATATGGTCTGGAGTTGTGAGCTCTTACAGGTGCTTTCCCCCCTTCACTTTGCAGTCCGACAAGCAGGTTCCTAATTCAGTTTGGACGTCACCGAGGTGGATAAAGAAGACAAGATGAACGCTGCACGTGGCGAGTTCTCCCGGGGCTCAAAGACTGCTGCCATCCAGTCTGTATATTGCCTCAAGCAGAGGTGAGGAAGCGCGCTCAGACATGCGAACCAGATCGGCTACCCGCGTCACGGCAGTGATCAGTTAAAAGATCTATGCCTACGAGCACAGAATTCCAGTTCTCCGTGCTTCCCAACCTAGAACATAATTGACGGTCATCAGCTCTCCATACACTTTACATTTCAAGTGAATTCTGCCATCGATGAAATTCTGGAGAAATTAGCTACTGTCCATACCGTGAAAACTGGCGCAGGACAAGCGATGGACAAATGTCCGATTCTCGCGGCTCCACAAAAGCATGAAAACAACTGCACTCAGGAGATCAACTATCACATTTCTCCAGCAATCTTTTCATCGAACCATTCGGATCAGTGTCCGGAGCTGAACACGTGATCAGTCAATTCGACTAATCCAAAAGCCTCAACGATGCCCCTCTCTCTCTCTCTCTCTCTCTCTCTCTATCCCCATATCGAGAGCATCTGTGACTTATTTGGGACTTATGATCAGTTACTCACTTTACTCCAGACTAGAGAGTACACACAGCGGGACATGTTACCCCTGGGCACAGCAGTCCGTCGTCGACCCGGATCCACGACGACCGCGAGCGCCAATCGGCTCCACAAACGGCTTCTCCCGTACTGTCCTAATTAATCTGCTCATCATCGGCCCATGATGATGATAAGGATCGGTGTCCATCATCATTTTCCCATCGGTCGCTAGCTCTACCCGTGGTTCGCAGACGCCAGTGGACCAGCGGTAGCCACGCCGGATTCCTCTCCCACTTGAGGACGCGACGACAAGGCGCAAGGGGCTGCAAATAATCGGCGCTCGAGAGAACGAAACGGGGGCCGATGGGAACCCCGATCCATCCCTGCAACCGCGCCTGCTGCAAGTTACGTAGTACGCGGGACCATGGCAAAGGAGTAGGCGGCTGTAGGCCCCACGAGGCGCGACCGGTGGGGCCCTTGCGGAGGGACGAGCCAATTGTTCCAATGAAGGAGCGAGGCCGCCAGCTAGAGACATTGTGGCAGCTCAGAGCCTCCAGAGGGCGGGCGTCCCGTCTATGGGTCTGTATAATTGGATCTCCGTGGACTTCGTAGTATAATACCGTATAAAAAATATAATATACAACACTCAGAGGTCCACCTCGTTAGTAGATGTTACTTTCGTCCATCACCTCGGCCTTGAAGATATCCTCGTCGTGCATGTTGTCTACGCGGAATTATTTTTTATTTTACAAGTATACAAGGTATGGTTTGGGAGTGCAGTATACATAAATTGACGTGTACGCGAATTTTTCACTATATACTTATACAATGTATGTTTATAGTATATTTATATAATACCGAAGTTATACATACACGACTATAGTCCCGTTACGTAGGCCCACCTCGCGATGGATAGGATGCGAAGATCGTTCCGTGATTGGGACTTTCAGTAGCTTGAGACCGGGGACCAGGAAAAGGAACGCGAAAATTCTCCGGGGCTTTGTTATTGGTCGACGTGGAAAGGCGAATGTGGGCAGACTGGAGAGATTGGGATTCGCGGGGCGGGGCGCGGGGAGGGGCGTTGGGACGAGGTGGAGCGGGGAGCGGGGAGCGGGGCGCGGAGAGCAGCGGATCTTTCAACGAGCTGTGAACCACAACTGTTGCGCTGCATGGCAGCGGATATTGGCTCGCGGGCTGGGGCGGGTCGTCATCGCCGATTGAGCTCCCGCTCGCCCTCCCCGTCCAGGCATTCATGGCCGCCTCGCTCTGACAGGCGGACCGACTGACTGACCGCGCGCGCTTGCGCTTTCTGCTTTTGCTCTGGAATGCGCTTCTGATCCCATTCCTCCTCGAGCGCGCTGCTCTCCTGCCGCTCCACGATTCCTCCTCCCAGCTCCTGGGATTCCCTTCTCTGTCAGTCCCGCTCGCAGGCAATTCGCGGTCGCCTCCGAGGTGCGAGAATTCCCTCCAGCTCTAGCTCCTCGTGTCCTCTCGGTTTTTTTCCGCCGTCAATTAATGTCGTAGTTTTGTTCGCCAATTGCGTATTGAGTTCTCCTTCTTCTTTTGGTACTGACACTATGGCTTACATGGGTCGCTCTTTTTGTTCGTCTTTTTGTGCGGGAGCGAGGAGAGTGGGGAGGAATGGGAGTTTTGGGACTGCGGGAATGTGACTGGACTGAATTCGGAACCTTCTTGCTTGCAGATTGTGGGAGGAGGTGGGGGTGAATTTTCTACGGTGTACATTGGAGTACGAGATGAGCATAGCTATAGCGCTTTCTAGCCATACTTGTGGTGGATGTATATCCGGCTCCAGCAGCAGAGCTCAGCCGCTGGCACGCGCCACTAGCTCGGCATGGAGGGTCGATGGGGCGGGGGCGGGTGCGGATGCAAAGTCGCTTCATTGCAATTCCCTCGGTGCGGACTGGAATGGTTGGGTGTACAGGAGCGGCCTGTTTCGTAGTGCGCAAGTTCAAGTCGCAGGTGCAAATTCTCAAAATTTGAGTACGAGGTTCATTCTCTACTCAGCTGTGGCCCTGTCTAGACCGTGTGGAATTCCAGCCTCGAGGCCTGGTGGTTCTTCTTCTTCTCTTCATCGAGGAGGTCGAGGTCGAGTTATACAGAACTTGGAAAGCCGTTCGTTTTCGAGTGGTATTCCTGCAGGTCTATCATCTCCCCTGCCAGAGGCTAAGACGCGAATAGCTTATGGCTATTACTTAGGACCCGCTTACGGATACGGAGGAGGTTTTGGATTCGGCGGAGGAAGCATTTTCCTACTTCTAATTCTTGGCTTCCTCGCTGTTCAAGCTTTTACTAAAACTGGCTCTGAGGATGGAAGCTTTACCAGAACGCGCGAGAAAGTCAGTGTTTTGAAGCTGCAGGTATTGCACTTCTCTTCTGGTTCGAAAGACCCATCTTAAGTAGAATGGAGGAAGGGGTTGCAAATTTTCAGCAGTAGCACCGGTCACGCAACATCCTCTTGCTTCTAGATTTGGTCGACTAGGTTTGGTATTTTTCAAGTGCATCATACTTGACTATTGAACTACGAAAAATGTATGCTGGTCAAAGTCCACAGATCCCAGCCAGACATGCAGGATTAACTAGTGCTCGGCTATCTGCAGGTTGGTCTGCTTGGAATCGCGCGGAATTTGCAGAGCGATCTTGAGCGGATCGCAGATCGTGCGGACACTTCAACAACCCGTGGACTTCACTATGTTTTGACTGGTATGGACTTTATATACTGTACTTCAAACTCTATAGACTTCTTATAAGACGTGGAGTTAGGAGCCTTCAGCACATTAAACCATATTAGAGTTAACGCAAGGTTTCTCGGAAAAGAAGAAATTCGAAGGAGACTTGGAATGATATATAAGAAATTCGTGTATCTATTTTTGTGTACTGACGACATTCTATCGTTTTTTGTGTCTTGGCGTAGAAACCGTCTTGGCTCTTCTTCGCCAGCCAGACATGTGTATACTCGGAACATCCTCGGTAGGTGATCGAACAGAAATTTCCAAGTCTTTTCGCTCTGGACTCACTACGAGACTAAAATGAACTCACCTGTACAAAGCTCTGTTCAAACTCAACTAAAACTTGAGCTAATCTCTGGTAAGAATTTACTGTAACAGTAGACACTAAAGAGTGCCGTAAACAGGTTGTACTATTGACAATCTGTGCAAGGAATGTCCATGAATCTGGAAATGTGTAGTATATCAAGGTATCCATACATTCGCAATGGAAAGTAGAGACTAAGAATGAATTATCAGCCTCTGAGCTTGAAGAATACTTGAAGAATGTAAAAGTGGTTTGTTTGACTTGAGTTCTGTAGGATCTTCAGTCATAATCTATCTTAGTAAGTTCCATCCGGGTCCCATCGAACAGTAAGTCATCATTGTGCAGTCAGTGGAGCTATGGTTTTTCCTTTGGAGTAGGCGGCTGAGACTTTCTTTATATTCTTTGATCCAAAAATAGATGTTAGAATTGTAGATTCTTAAAGACTAGTAAATAAGGTTCTTACTATCTTGCGGTCACGAGTAGGACCTCAAGAGTCTGCATTTAAAAAGTAGATTTCATCGTTGATGCCTGTCCCCTAAAGCGCACTGCGAGAAGATAGATTTCCATGCTTATCTCTGTCGTCTGTTCTAAGCTCACTCCCAGTTAGTCAAACACGAGATTAGTGCGATATCCGCTATAAACATTAGTATATAATTTCCATAACCGTTACACTTATTTATCGTTTCATCGAGAGTTAACTCGATTTCTGTATTGCAGGCTGATGTCAAACGAAGTGTTGAATCTGGTGAGAGGAGGTTTAACCAATTGTCTTTGGAGGAGAGAGGCAAATTCGACGAAGAAACTCTAGTGAACGTCGATGGAAATAGGAAGAAGGATATCGAGAGAGGTCGGAATGACGGCTTCGGCAACGAATACATTGTGGTATACAAAGTTTCCTCACCATTCACTTGACTTCTGATTGTTTATGCAATTCAACTAAGATCTCATGTGCCACTTTCCACATAGATATTTGCTGACTTTTGCCTAAGCTTAAATGGAAATTGGTTTTCAGGTCACAGTACTCGTTGCTGCTGAAGGAGAATACAAATTGCCTGCCATTTACAGCAACAGTGACATGAGAGAGGCTTTGAAGACACTTGGGTCAATACCTGCAGATCGACTTCAGGTAGAACCTTAGTCCATTGTTTAGTCTAGTCCTCTATGTAATTACGTGTGCTAGCCCTAGTATGCGAGTTTAGAATCTTCATGAAGGAAATAATGATTTGGATGAATACGTAGTGATAGGGATCTGTAACATGAATTCGATACTAGTCTGTGAATCAAGAACCAAACAAATAGATCTGAACGATCAAGCATAACAAATTTTTATTAGATCCCCTTCCATAGAGTAGGATGCTGTTTAAGAGTTTTGTCATTGCTGTCACTCTGAAGCTGTATTACACTTGGTAACTGCACGTATAATCAGAACCTCATCTTGACCATTCCTTGAAAGAGCTCGTGACCTTTTAGCAAGAGTCTTAGGTGACAACTTTAGACCACTAAGAAAGGAGTCCCTTGAGTCTCGTTCGTTCTCGAACGTTGAGCATAGCTTTAGTCTCTGAGTCTTGAGTTTAAAAAACAAAGAAATTATGGATGAACGTCGAGCATGTGTTGTAGGTCGACTGAGTCAAAATGAGGAGAAGATTCTGATGTTCGTGTTCATACAGGGAGTGGAGATACTGTGGACTCCTCAGGACAAGAATGATACTTTGACCGAAAGGGACTTGCTACGCAACTACCCACTTCTGAAATCATTGTGAGGTAGCACCAGGCACTACATTCATTTGAAACCCGTGGAGGATTTCTACTTACTAATGTAACGAGACGATGTATTGGTCGTCGTGTAACCCGTAGAGATAAAGGTGTCTGAAGGATGAAGATTCTTTTTGATATGCTTAATCGTCTCGAAATAGCTCCTTTGCGACGATGTTTGAGTTATAGTCACTGTCGAGGCGCGATGAGTCTCTTAGTGAACAGGTTTTGAGTAGTTAGACTTCGTCTGTTCGTTCCGCCATCATACTGTAGTCTAGAGGCATGTAGTCATGTTAATTTTAGGAAAGAACTGTTAATGTACTATACCGAGTCATACGTAACGAACGCTTGAAATTATTTTCCAGCCTGTCTTGGAGACCTGGTGATCAAATCGCTGGTGAACATTCCTCGTGATATGTACCTTCGTCTTGTATTGCACCAATTGCAGCTAAGCTGATAAAACAAGGTGGTGAGGAAGTCAAGCCGAGAAAGGGCTGCTTTTCACCTTGACGATGCATTACTTTGTCAGGATTCTCTGAGCATATGCGGACCGAACGTGCTAGTGGTTTGCCAAGAAAGAATCTGGCTGTTTCCAAGACTCTCGGTGGTCTAAGGACGCGAGGCAAAAAAAGGACTCTTGACGTTCTGCTTTCCTGCCACACTAGGTCCTGAAACACCAACAGTTCAGCTTACAAAACTCATCACAGAAGTTGGAGTTCTATGAGAAAAGCCTTGTCCAGAGGACGAAGCTGAAAAGGAAATCCCGAAAGAAAGAGGTCTAGTGGAGAGATTGTGCACTGAGTTCTTCCATACAAGCTAAAGAATTGGGGCAGTGTTTACGAAGAAAAGACGCGGAGCACAGGAGTCTGTCCGTTACATAGTAGCCGCAAACGAAGTAATGTTCCACATCTGCTCGTTATCTTTATCATTTCTGATTGCAGGCATTCGTACGGTTTATCTAGCAAACGAGCCACCACGCGAAGTAGATATCTTCTCTACCATTGCCTTCTCACTTTCACAGTTGATAATCTTCTCCCTCCTTGCAAAGCTCATCTCGTCCTCACTGGTCAGTGTTCTCATCTCTCTCGGTGAAGCCTGGTATGAGCAGAAAGATAACTTCTAATAGAAATGTCACTTTCTTGTCAAGTGAAAGATTTTCAAAGTCCCAATCTTCAATGATTCGAGGTGATCGTGTAGGACTAAGATTGGAACTTGCTGGACATCCCTTCCTGATAAGACACGCTTTTTGACCACACAACGAGCATCTTTGTTGGCGTGAGTGTGTGCAGCACATGCACTCATAACGTAGGAAAGGACTTTAGATCTAAGGGAGATAGCTATCGTAGTCATTGTGGGTGAACCTGGTCATGGATGAATCGCCCTCGGTTAGTTAGATCTAGGACTAATCCACTCTACTTTCAAGTTGTGACAAAGAGAGTTATCATTCGATTCCAATTCCAAATTTAAGGATGTAGAGCCCAATAAGCTAAATGGTCTAGTACACAATTGATTCTGCAAGCTTGTAGGCACTTCACCCCTGCGACCAGTGACTGATTGATTGGGGTGAGTTATCAGCACTCGTTAACCTGGATTGAAGGAATGCAAGAAAGTATTTACTCCAAGTTGTTGTGATTTGTGGGAAATTTTTATGTCCTTTCAAAACTAGGGGCTCTTTTCATGGCTTTTGTTCGTCACGCGTACTTTTCCACGGGATGGGATGGCCTTCCAGGGTTAGAGTTGTACTTCGGGGGCTGAATCAAGAGGTAGAGGTGAAATTCTGGTAAAAGTGCACAACAGCAGCCAGGCAAAAGCAGCCAGGCAAAAGCTGGAAGCAGGATGCGGGAGAAACTATTCACCCTCAGTCAACGATGAGATGTAACAACAATGGATGAGGCCCGTAACGAGCAGCACATGTCATCCACAGTCGAGAATATATGACGTAGCAATTTCCTTCCGTTTCCTCCCGTCAAGAAGATTTTTTTGTATCCTCGTGAGAAAAGTTGACTATCTGGGCAAAAGCTAGATCTGGAGCCTAGAGATGAAGTACTGAACACTCCTTATACAGTAGGACGTAGCCTATGATTGCTTATGTCTTCTCAAAGCTCTCAGATGTGATGTGACCTCCAGAGCCATCAAAAGCTTATAGCTCTTTAGCAGCCTGGTGACGTCAATGTGTTCAGCCATTCGGGGGCCTTGAACAGCATAGTTTTTTAGTCAGATACAGTTAGGTAGCTTTAGAAAACCTAGCAGAGTGAAACGGGTCCTGTAGTTATTTTTTTCCCATCAAATTTGATCGGCCAAAGGAAACAACGACTCACATATACCTAAGGCCCTCATGAACAATCAACGTCCACTCTCGAAGCAGATAACTTCATGACAGTTCCATTTCAGCGAATGGATGCTCGCGCTTAGTCGCAAAAGCTAAATGATGCTAAACAGTATCCTTGACTTACCTCACGAAATAGTCAGACGGTAAGATCTACCAATATTTGATTCCGTCATAAGAAACTAGTTGGAGCTCAAAAAATCGTGCACGTCTCATGGACTTAAGTTCCCTGTAGTTACAAACGTGTGTAGAACGAAAATGCTCAAACTAATTATTAGCTGCGGTCAAAAATTTTAAGATGAGTTCATGTTCGTACTTCGAAAGTCCATCCACATGTTTGTACATAGTTCGTTGTTTATTATATTCTATTCGTAAGTGCGCTCATTGTAGGGCTCCTGCAATGTATTGCTAGAAACTGTTCGATTCTACTCATCATGAAAGTTCCATGAAGATCAATGAACTGTCTGCTTTCGATGACAGTCACTGTCTCCGTCAGGAAGGTGCATCTAGATTGTTGACAGACCATTAATATTGTGAATATGCAGAGCTCATGTGCCAAAATCCAAGCTTCTTATGCTTGGATATTGGCAACATGTTCAGCGGAGTATGTACACAAGATCTTTCAGATCGAGAAGTTCGTGAGGTGGAGGATTTGTGAACACGTAAGGGACGAGCGATCCATGGAATTTCAGAGGTCGATATAAGCCTACGGCCAACATGCCGTGATGCCTTAACAGCCCTGAAAACAGAGATCCAAAGGATTTACCTTCGAAGGCTTTGGGTACTACAATCTGATCCAGAACTCTCAAATGATCGTCCTCGACATCTTCTCCATCGGCTGACAGAATCTTGCCTCCAGATAGTAATTGTTCCACGATCGACATACAATTGCGATTGAAGAAAGTTGCATATCTGTAAACGTAGATCCCAATTATTGACGAATCTCTGGAAATTGTTTGGACAATTCATATGCTCGTTCAGGATGCAAACGATTCAATGAGACGAGAGAAGAGCATTAAAGAAGCTCGACTCAAGAAGGATATGACAGGCATCTAGACCCTCGGTTTAAATCAGAAAGCATTTCATCAATGGAGCTGGTGAGAAATGGGAAGACATGAGCACGCATATCTTACGTGAGAAAAGCCAGCGTTTGGGGACAGAAAGTCTTTCCCTCGATATACGGTGGGGCAAACTGGAAAGTACCAACTCGATTTCGCCGGTACATTTCAGCAAAAAACTGGCGACGATCGATGTATAATTTGGGTCGAAGGTACTGAAATGCAGCTTCCTGTTGCAGCTCCACAATGATTCGCTCTCCCACCGGACGCAACAACCTTTCCACCGTCGCTGCAATAACTATGTTGTTGACGTCTTGAGTGTGAGCAGTTGCAGGAGCTGTTCCTGCTGTCTCATCTTGATCACTCGGGATCATTTGGTTCTCCTCCAGGTGGATATATGAAGTCATAATTACCACTTTCACTGTTTCATTGTTATCAAGCGTTTTGTTAACAATCTCCGATAACATTGTCCAATTCTTCGTTGTTATTACTACATCACTTCTCCCTACCTCCAACAGGAGATTAATATCTAGCACATCATACATCAATGAGACCAAGCTGCTTCCCAGTATGTTCTCGAGAACTTGAGAAAGTCCCCGTGACACGAAGTCCTATTCATTGTGGTTATTAGGACTAGTTCAGCAATTTGGTCATTCATACGTTTGCTCGGTGTCAAGTGTTCATGTTCATTTCCATACTCTGGTAGACATTCTGCAATTCTACTCCTGATAATATTCGATTCTTATCTTTTTTCAAGATGCAACCTTGGAGTATCTTTGAGATTATTCAAGCGAGGGAGGTTTGCTGAAGATTTCAGAAGCAGTAACTATAACTAAAGAGTCAGAGCCACGCTTACTTTTGGGTGGGTGAACACAAGTGAGTCTGAATATAGACTCACCTGCTTGCAAAACTCCTGCTCGAATAAGATCCAGTTCATAAATGGGACTTCCTCGAATGAAGTAGACACCTTCGAACATGCCCACACAGCCCCAATCCGTGGCAGTCGGCTGGTTGGGATGTAAGATGACTATGGGTGTGGTTTTGGGAAACAGAGTACGTGAATGGGAGACGAAATAAAACAGATTCAGAGGCCAGGGTCCCTGCATACACACCAAAATGTGCGGCTCGTTCAGTTTCACCATGGACAGCGTGAATCTCTGCAGATGGTCCATAATGTCATCGGCTCTTCTCTCCAAAATAGGAGGATCGGGCTTGTAATGCTTGTTGGTCGGCGGCCAGCTCATTGCCAGGTCTATAGCTTCCTCTAGCGAGCTGATGTGCTGAGGTTGCTGTATTTCGGTGTCAGTCGATGAGGCAGACTCGCTTGATACAGAAACTCGCAATGGTGTAGAAAGAAGGAAACTGGAGAACTGGCTCTGCAAGTTGCTGACGCTATCGAGCAAGCCTTGTGTCGGGCTCGTGGCTTTGGGCTCCCTGGTCAGCTCACCAGAGCTTGTGGTAACGATGGGATCGATGCTCGTTGATTGCTCGGATAGAGTGTAACGTTTGCTTTTGATCAGATTCAGCAAATCTTGGTCCGAAAGCTGCGACTGGGTCATACAACTTGCGCAGCCACTTGCCATATGCCGGCATGCTTTTTTCCTGCGCTTGGCGAATTTGCTTACTCTTTCCGCTGCCTCAAGGTTCTTGGCTATTGCCATACCCACGTCCGTAGACTGAAGCACTCGACCTTTCGGGAAGAGTACAACCTCTCTGCTGGCTGACGCCTTGATTAGCACGTCCAGGGCGAAAAGTATGACACCCGTTCTCTCATACAGAAGCTCCGCAGCCTGACGAGAAGTCAAGTTCCATGAGTGAGAAAGTGAGTAGAAACTTTGCAATGCATTTGAGATTCGATCGATTCCTCATCAGCATCTTGCGGATTTTTGAGAAGGAAGGTCGGTCTCAGACAGAGTGGGATAAAATTTAAATGAAGCAACGGAGAAATGTCCGAGTGCGGACCTCTTCAAACAGAAGCTCCTCTGTGTGAAAGCATGCCGGGAGTAGCACGGGAAACACTTCTTGTTTGAGGCCGTGGTAATACTGCCTCAACCAATTGCCTTTCTCTGGCTTGCTCACCACCAGTCCTTGCTTAAACAGGTTAACTACAAATGTAGAAATTCCCTGTATGTGGCAGCTGCACGCAAAGTCTAAAAAATGATCGGAAGGAGTCTTAAGAATTTGATCGGCTTCACGTTTTCTAACTTCACGATTTTTAACGCCTTATAACTTTTAAGATGAAGAAGTATGTTCAGTATTATATAGAATGATATTCAAATATAAATAATAATCTAATTTAAGTATTATATCTATATGAATTTCACTCCCATTAGGGTTTCTACTCGCCTGTGTACACTAGCATCGACGCGAATCTATGCAGCAAGAGCTCACACATTCTGCAATGACGTGTATACCGGTAACATTTTACATATAATGGACATATACCTGCGAGAGAGAAGTTTGAAGCGAATGGACTCGAAGCAGATAATCTCAATATCACTTGTAGCATCATCCCAGATGGCGTTGGCTCGTCTTTCGGGTTTCAGTAGCTCGACTATTACGCGCAAAGCAGATCCACAGTGTCGATGTACTGCAAGTGTACGCAGAATTTGTGTTGCATCTTCCGCTTCTGGATCCTGTTCAAAAGCAGAATGTAAGCATAGGGATATAGAGCCTGCTGTCCGCTTGATAGCGTGTCCTTCGAAACTTTCATACGCATTTGCCACAATCTGCGTGCTAGTGGTTTACCTGAGCATGCTGATCTGCTATTAAGAAAATGGCGGACGCAACATTAGCGCTAACTCGGTCAAGGTCTATATCTTTCAGCGGTGTGCCTTGAATAAATTCAACTCGTCCTTTGTAGTGTGCTAATAACGATTTCAGCTCAAATCTGAAATGCCATTAAACTCTTTGTAAGAATTCATCTGTATTAGTTGAAGTGTCGCTGTCAGATCCCGTTGGATTGGCTACATTTCTGACCTCCCGTATTTTTCTTCCCGTGTACATTTTATTGATTATTGAGGAAATCTTACTGTAACAAGTTCAGTAAGATGCCTTGAGGATGTATGTCGATGTGACCTTTCAACACAAATCAGTGGAACTACAAACGAGTGCTCAGAGGAAACGTACGAGGGTTTAAATGGAGCGAGAAGTACGACACGTATGGGAAATGCAGCCAGGTCTGCAACCACAATTGAATCAATTGGTACTCTTCAAAGTTATTGCTTTTCATATATGTGGGCATTTTGAGGATGGTTATAAATGGCTAAGAAGAAAGAACAATTTGTGTAAGCACCTTTATCGTGATTCGGGTGATAGAATTCGGAGAGGAAATCTTGTACAGTTCTGAAGGTCAAGTTTCCGCTTACAATAATAAAGCGAGAGCCAACAACCTTCTTCACTGCAAAATATCCTCCATAAGGCCTGACAGGGTAAATATGCAAATATATGTCAGCGAAAAACGATGACATTTAGCTGGAGTTACAACAACATTCCAAAAAACGAGGGCATTTTCCATAGGTCTGTTGACAACAGTCAAGTTCCCCGCCTTGTTACTTACCTGCGAGAAGCAAGCTGCATGATGTTATTTACTTGGGCAGGAAGAATGATGAGAGCTGCCAGAATAGCCAGAATAGCAACAGCACGTCCCCAGTCTGATTTAGGAGTTATGTCACCATAACCAACTGTGGAAATCTGTGATTGGAAAGAACGAATTTCGAGCATCATAAAGACTTTGGTTATGGTAATTCCGTTATATCGTTTTCGACCAGACATCATTACAAAGTGGCACAAAAGATAGAGATGAAGGTCTCAAACTTACGGTCACAATCATGAAGTAGAAAGCCCCGAAGAACGTTAGGCATCCCTTGGGACTGCAATTATTGTCTTCTCTGTACTGCGTTGTGCTTGCCCTGTATTCAACCCATTGAAGTAGTCCCGCAGCGATAAATACTGCAGCAAATGGAAAGATGTCAACTACCAATTGTAATCGATGGAGGTGTTCTCAGTCTTCTCATTTCAACGTGGAAACGCAAATGAAAACTTCCCATGTAATATTTCGACAATTCACAATTCTTTAATAAGCAGAGTAACATAATGTCTTCAGAAGTAACTCTGAAAAATCAGAGTTTCTGAAAACTCACTCACGCCGAAGGCGTACACCACCAGACGAAATATCTGCTGTGTAATTGTTGCTCCACTCAGCCCAATGGATGTTAGCACGGGCATTATTCTAGCCACAAGACAAAATTGTATTTCAATTTATGAATTTATTGCGCAGCATTTTGCTCACCCGAAGAATATATCTATACAATACCGAAATACGATTCTTAATTTAGAAAAAATAAAATTTGAAACCTCCCACACCATTCCTAAGTTCAGACTTATTGGATAGTGTTTGCCCTGACAGCTGCGTACCTTAGAACTCGGAGAAATAACAAAATTTCAACTCCAAAGTTCTTCTTTTTGCTGCGAAGATGCACACTTTCAGTAATCAGAGTTACTTCAGACACGTAGATAGTTCAGAAGGTGGCAGTGGTCACCTCTCATTGAACTTGACATAACCAATTTGGTCCTTTCAACCAGTATGCTGAAATGGTTTGAGTGAGAGCCTTTCGTCTTGGACAAAAATTTTAACTATAGACTTGCGTCCATAAATTGGCTTGCAGAAAATTAGGAAAACAACCAATGGAGATAAGAATTCTCAGTGATAACAAATCAATACCAGACCTCCAGAGAAAGGCGATGGGCAGTACGCTCAACAAGTCAACAAGTCCTGTTGCTGATATAATGTAGTACAACCGTACTGGAGCACTGCGTTGGAGCTCAACAAAATGTCAATGTAATGAATTTTTAAAAGACTGGTCATCAAGGACAGAAGTTAGTCTAGCAGTACTATCTAAGTAGAGTAAGGTATCAGCTTGTATGACAATAATGTCTATTACTGTCAGACGGGCTGATACATTACACTACCTCTGATGATCCAAAAAATTAAATTTTGCATTGAAACTCACAACCGTCAAATAATCAGTTTTTCATGAAAGATTAGTGCTCCGGGTGCTCATATGCTTAAAACAATTGAATCTCCTCCTCTTCTTATGAGGTTCGGTTAGGAACATACCTGAACAAATTTATAACGTAATCAATTAAGAAAAATACACCACACACGGTTTCCACGATAATAACATAGGGTGGAGTTTCGTAGTTGTACCTGCATGCTTCCAACCAGAAAGCGTCACTGGCTGCAAGATTGACCATTGAAATCTGTGTCGTAAGGTTCGGACATAGATGTTTCCATCCTCTGGATACTCGGAGGTCTTCTGGAAAAGATGAGAAGTTTGAAAGGAGGATGTATGTAGTAATTCTCTACTGACATACATAAACATGAGATTCAGACAGCAGGTTTTCAGAAAATAAGTTTTCCGAGTAATACACCTGCATAACGAAGTAATTTTTTTCCACACGACTACAACTCTTTCCGAGCACAAAAAGAGGTCCAATATTCAACGTTCTGAAGAGTTGGAGCAGGAAGCCAGAAACTATTGGATTAAGGTGCTCAGGTTTTCAAAAAACTGACGTCGATCGAACGTAGACAATCACCGAAGTCAAAGCAGCTATAAATTCCAGCTGCAATCCAGCACACAGAAACATCAGCCAGCACATAACTATTTGAAGTGATTCACAAACTGAAGATGAAAGCCCTGCTCGTCCAGAATATTCTTCCTTATTAACATAGTACTTGTTTATACTGGCCTTTACTCAGTCTAAACCATGTATATAACATGTATATACCTTGTACATATGAAACAATGCAGTACTAGACGGTCAAGGAGAAGTGTGAGCCCACAAAGAATTTTCAATTGGTGTCATAGACCGAAAGAGCGCCTTACCCATACAAGAATAGGGCGCAAAAAACCTCCTCGAATGGAAGCTCTAACCTTGATAGATAACGGTACTTCCGCGTAGAGAAATGAGTCGTGATACAGGGCTAAAACATCCTGGACAAACAAAGAACCGTAACTTCATCAGAGCTTCATAAGCACGGTGATACGAAATCGAACGACAGTTTCGTAAACTGATGATTTGTGTTCTGGTTACGGTAATCAATTGCATGCATATTCTACTTGCGATCAAGTAAACAGATGTCAAATGGTTCACTTCCGCATTAACAAGTTCAAGACGAGATGCTTGCAATTCAAACATCTGCCTTGCTTACGGCCCAATCTCGGAATTCTGGACACACAAACTAGTGCTAGCATTGAAAGGCTGACACTGGACGGACGGTTAAAGAAACTTCAAATGAAATGCCAATGACAGCTATTGGTTGATGCAAATTGGAAGCTAGGCTGTGTGTGCTTTTGAGAAGCTAAGTGAAACTCACAGTTTAGTTAAATACAGAGTGTTCGATAGCTGAATGTTCTTGATCAACTTTTGAGAACCAATTACCTTGCCCGCTTTAACTTGCTTCTCATTGCTTCTTCTTTTGAGCCACAATATACAGGCAAGAATCTTATCTTCAGCTGTTCCTCTGAACTTTCCCACACTAGGGAACGGGTTCTGGAGAGATATTTTTCTGTGACTCTGCCCAGAACCTTGTTGCTTCTTACCCTTGTCTGGTTTGGAAGGAGCAGGTTCATCTTGGACCGTGCATTCTCCCGTCGTCGATATAGTCAAAAGACGATTTCTAGTGATTCCTCGACGGATTGAAGTGGAACTACCAGGAGTGGCACCGACATTCTCTAATATAGGCACAGATACCTCTAAAGAATCGGACACATCATCTATAAGTTCTTCAATGGGGGGCACTTGAACAACTTCCTCAATTTCGGACACAGGCTGCAATCTGCTGTGAGGACGAACACAAAAAATACAGCAGAGTTGAGACTGAATGTGCGTCTATTTCACTTCATTAGATGGTTTTCATAGTCACTTACATCCTGTGAAACTGAGGATAACAATAAAAAAAATGTAAGCGGGCATCAACTCTACTGCGGCAGTGATTAACTCGCATGGGGCGAACGAGAATGTTGGACCATGGTGCTTTAGTTGTAGATTCAGTTGAAACCCTAATTGTCTGCTGTGAGCATGTATTAGACACAAACCTTGATTCGAAAGACGAATCGGGATCTGTGACCGACATGCTGATCGGCTTCAGAAAGCACTTGAACTGCAGTCTTCGCTCGTTCTTACGAGACTCTTACGGTCGTGGATTTTCTAAACCTGCACAGGTACGAACTTCCTATCATGGAATGCTTATCAACGAACTGGCTGAGTCATATTTTGAATCGTTTTGAAATCGTTGCTACTTACTGATGGGGTCGGGTACTGTCACCATATTCTCTACAGTTCGCTAACTTAGGCCATATATCCCGTGGTCATTCCAGGTCGGAAACGGAAAGCAAAGGCAGCTGTGCTCAACACATACAAACTTGGATTGCAGTGAGCTTATTTACGTTTCTGAACATTGGAGGTCAGAGTAACAATTTGTGTATGCACTCGCTCAGTCTTCTCTTCACATGCAGGTGGACTGACGTACATTGCAGATTGACAGATCTTCATAAATGTCAAATGAACACAATATAAACTGAACCCTCCCTTTGATACGGTTCCATGTTCAAAAGGTAATACTGCTGGGAGAGAAAGTTGTTCAGTCTGATGGGGAATGACGTAACAAACTGCAAAAGACAGTCCTGCCAATGTTTCAGTGTAGTATATGCAGGCTCAATTCCAAATGTTGCAACTTGGACAATCAATTTGATTGCGTTTACAACATTTGGGACGTCAATACCTCTTTCCATTGTCTTCAGCACCATTCTGTTCGAGATTTCTCATCTCTGTGGCCTTCACAGGGAGGAGAGAGGTATCAGAGATTTTGTTAAAATCCACATTTTCTTCATCTTCATCTTTATCAGGTTAGAAGTAATTTCCGGCACATTGACGGAGGCGCAAGGGCCCTCGATTGAATTCTAATTTGCGAGTGATAGCAGTCGATGATCTACCACTTCCTCGGTCCATTCAATTTCTCACTTGTGAGGTCGGTTGTGGCATTCTTGCAGCAGATTTCATGCCCAAACCCACGAGAAAAAAATGCAGCGTTGCACCCAAGCCTCAAGAGAATGGAAGGAAGAATCTCCAACGCTGTCAGGCACGCTCGGTGGGTGACGGCAACAAGTGTATTCGAGAACTGACCAAAGTCTTGTCCGGCGCTAAAACCTCACCGACAGACGGAGTTGCGATGCCTCGTCTTCTAAATTCGCGCCCTGCATAATAATCATGGGAGAAAATCCAGAGCTCAATTCAATCACTACACAAGCAGCAAAGTGGTCTCGGCGGCGAAGCCTGCCTCCGTGTCCGTCAACACAGTTTGCAGCCACCAACATAATGTTATCATCAGACTCTCGACTCCAAAGAAAACTAAGTTGGAAAATGTTGACTCGAGAGAAAGCATTGGTCGAGTCCTGAGGACTCGCTCGTGTATTGCTCGCGTGAGGGCTCTGAATCTGGTCTGATGTTTCACGCTTGATGTCGGTCATTTGTTTCTTGGTTTGGTGGAGCTCTTGTGTTCGGCTTCTCTCCATCGAATCATGGCTTTCCGTCCGTCAATTGAAGGAGAGCGTCTCCGTCGTTTTACAAAAAGGAATAGGTTTATTCTACTTTTGGTTTCTTCTACTTAGCTTCTCCACAATCGGAGGACGAGCGAATAATATAGCAACAAGGATGGAAGACTCCGTGTTATTGATATTTATCCCAATTGATAACGTTGATTAATAATGTTATTATTACCATTATAACGTTTGCATCTGTTTTATTTTATATATATATAGACATTTATAAATTGTGTCATAAGTAATCCATGCAAATTAATGTCTCTTAAAATTAAATGATAATAAAAGTATAAACTTATATGATATGTCAAATTATCACGACTATGTATAAATTGTCTAAAATACAATATCTTATACACGTAAATTAAAAGTAATTTATTTTTTGTAACTTCATTTCATAATACTATATATATATAAATATATAAATATAAAAGTAAGTTAGAAATAAGTTTGTAACAACTTAAATTATACATATATAATTGTAGAACATGATTGTTGTAGTTTCATTTTGTTGTGAGCAAATTACTTGATAGAACACTGTGTAATATACATAATTTACTGAGTATCCATCATGATTGTTTAATGTAGGCAATCGGCCGTCTAAATTATCTAAACTAGACTACTCCACACACATATTTATGCTACCTTTGTTTTATGTGTGAGAGTTACGTACTGAGAGGAGTGGGGGTTGTTCTATTGCTTCTATGAGTGCAAATTATTATGTCAAGTTCAATGACATGAGGCTTGGCTTCAGATTGTGCTCCCGGACTACGAATGACAAGTGGATCAATGATCTACAATGGCAATTCTTGATTGAGTTTGGCCGCTAGGAGAAGGTGAGTGCAAAGCACAAGTCTTCTACCTATGTAGAAGTATGATTCCGCACTTTCCGTTACAACAATATTGAAATTCATGTCAGCAATCAGCATCCAATGCATTATACTGTGTACAACCGTCTTGATTCTGCTAATGATCAAAATGTCTTCTTCATCAATGTACTAGTTGTTCAAAAATTCTATTGAGTCGTATTTCTAGTCTTCATCTCTTCTCACTAAGTGTTAAATTGTGTTGAACATTGAAAAGTATATAGTGTACGCGATTGTTGGCGACATGACTTTTGATCCAATAGATATCATCAATAGCGATTCGGATAGTGATGTGAAGGAGCATGCATTTGGCAGTGAGGTTGAGCGTAATGTTGTAATTTGTCAATGTGCTCAAAAGGTAACATTGGCAAAAGAGGGAGCGCTATCATTATTTCAACGCGTGGAGTAGCAAGATAATGACAAGGAATTCGTCAGTTATGCTTATTTGGTCACTATCCCAAAGTAAAAAACCAGTGTAATGTAGTTAGCAGTAGGATACATGGCATGAGAAGCTCTATTTCGGTTGACAACAAACATATTGATATTTTGCACAATTCTCTCCTACGGGTTTGCTCTCCAACTTCATCAGACTTGTATGTGCGGTCAACTTGCAATGCATGGCTCGCCCTGTGTGCCATGCATGGAGGTTTTCTATGGCTATGGATTCGACAACGCATCAAAACGTTTTGTATCTCGATTTGCACTTTTGAATTATTTTGCTTGTCATCCATAACATTACTAATCTGCATGGAGCTACGCTCCCAATGTTTATCAAACTAGAGCTGCCATGTTACGCTTTGTTATGGATCCACCACTTGATGTTAAATAGCATTTACATATCAATAATTTCATCATTCACCAACCCCATTGTCTTGTCATGAATCTACATAATCAGGCTATAATATAAGCTAAGAAACAGTCATATTTGATACTCAAATTTTAATAGGCTGTTACTTATAAACCTGTGGAAATGTATGTATATTTATCCATGTAACTCCAAAATTTCCCCACAGCCATATATTACGAAATCTTAAATAGTGCAGATAATAATCCATTTCATAAATTCAAGTAGTACATAGAATGAATATCTGTTATTCATTCCAGATATAGATCCGCACGAAGCCGAATACAGTTTAATATAGCTTCACTTCTTCCATGTGAGGCCTCCATCTCTCGGAGTCTCGGACTTGAGTAGGCTTGCACAATGCAACAGATATGACTTCTTGAAGCCCAATATGAGGTCCACAAGGAACGATTCCATAAGCTCAATATTGATAATCAGTGTAAGAGGTACTTACCGGGAGGTGCACAAGGTGATGGAGTTTCCTTCTGGACAAGTGTGATAGGCTTTTTGTCGCTGTTAGCGTTAGCTACATACGGATATGCCACTTTTATTGGTTTGGTCGCATGCCCTATCTCTTTCTCGGTGATCTTCAAGTTTCCTTATATTTTCCAGTTTATACATATACAATTTTGAAAAGAATGTCAGCTGCTCGTCCCCTACCTTTGCACGATTTCTTTATCCGTCCAATAATCCTTAAAATCAGACTTTACGGCTTTTCTCTTCGAGTCCTTGCAGATGTCCATAGGACACTGTACAATAGGAACTAGCGAAGGAAAGCAGGACCAAGTGGATAGCAGAAAAAGAGTACACTGTACAACAGTTGGGAAACTTCCCGCGCAGTATCCCCGAAGGCCTTGACCATGGCTGGCTGAGAAAAGCACACTCACTTTGCGTCCGTAGGATGGAACCGAACTACGACGAAGGCCGTACGATAAAAGCTCGATCTACCAACATTCCCGCCAGGGTCGCCTACTGTAGTAAGAGTCACAAACCACGACAGTCGTGCATGCACGATGAGTGAGAGTTGTGAGCTCAGAGCGCCTACACTAGAACTGACATCTGAGATCTTTGCAGTCGCCATGAATTACAACCTCTACCGCTACTATGCTAAAATATCTCGTTCGCTCCCCTCTGGCTGAGGTTTTAGGCCTGGCGAGATTTCCCGTTACAAATGGAAACCATTAAGAAAAGAAACTGTCAGCTACTCGGCCAAATATCCTCCAAATTATATGGTCATGACTGGTCAAAGCATGACAGAAGCACATTGCAGTCCGGACGAATTCCAAAAAGGCGCACCCGGTAATAAAGCAAAAAAGATGTGGAGACCCCACGCCGAGTTCACCCCGTTCATTGTATTTGAGGTTTTTCAGCTCTGTTGCTGCGCCAGGGCCATGAGCCACGGCGTTTCTCCTTTTCACAATGGGGCTGTTCGTCGAGTAAGACACATGGCCCTTTATTTTGGCAATATATTTATTGGCAAACGAGGCGGCTTATCGAGTTTATAAACCGAAAAGGTCTTAGAACATGCTGTTCAACAGCTAAATATTCCGGGCGACGTGTATAGAATGAGGAATTGGCTGATTTGGGAGCTTATTGAAGGAGAAGAAATCATTGGGCTGTGTCGCAGTGGTGGGCGATGAAGAGACTCCGAGTGGATATTTGGCGGGCAGGCTGACTGGCTGGCAGGCTTGCTGGCAGGTTGGCAGGCATGCCATGGGATGCCATGTCATGGTTGATTGACTGACCGAGACACTGATTGCCTGACCGAGCGCAGGGTGACGTGGACAGACCGGTCGTGTGGCGAGCACAATGCCAACATCGGGCACAATTGGCTTTTGATCCAGCTCGCGCGTCGTTGCTCGATTCGATCCATCGGCGCCATCGCCATCGCCACCATCATCATCATCATCCGCGACGCACCTCCTGCCAAGCCCAAACCGGGCACTCGGCCCCGACCAGCCAGCCTGCTGCTGCTGCTGCTGCTCGTCGTCGTTCCCCTGCTCTATATAGGCTTTTGCGCGTGACCCGAGCGTTCCCTCTCATGCCGCGAGCGCTCCACTCTCGATCTCCAGCCGTCTCCGACCCTCACTCAGATTTGCCCACTGTCGTCAGGCGCTCCAGCTCAGGACTAGGCCCTTCCGCCCCCGTGCTCCAAGTGCGCAGGCCCATGGCTTCGTATGGCGTCTCGTTCGCTCCCGTGGCCACTGCCGTTCACGTCTTGGGAGTGCTCGTTCTCGCGCTCATTCTCTACTGGGTGATCGCCTTCAGAGGTGGTGTGACCCTATGGGGCTCTGCGCCAGCTCTCATCTTCAATGTGAGGATCTTCTCTCTGCACCATTTTTCCTGCTCTCCTGGCTGGATTCGAAATCAGGGTTTGGATGCTTCTGGTTTGTGTATATACAGGCATTGATTGTTCGTTTTTGAGCCATGAGCACACTCTATAATGACACCTCGTGAATTGGTTAAGCTCCGGGGCTATCGTATGGGTCGAAGGTTTGGATGCGTTGACTGTAGTTGGTTTCCTTTCCAAAGCTGGATCCGAGCTTCAGATGGAGGGATTTGTCATGGATTTGGTCGTAAGAGGCAACGGAGTGGGATCTGCGGTAGCTGGCCTATCACGAGTTTCATTAGCAGTTTACGTTATACATAATGGGATGAGATGGACATCGGTGTTATGAAGAGTAATCAGGCTGATTGGTCAAGTAGTCCTTCTGTAGAGTCTGACCTGGATTGCCAAGTCAGCTGATCTTCTAATTTACCAGACAGTCTGATGCTGTGCTGTTTTTTAGAAAACAGCTGAACTTATGATCTGTCCTCAAGAATATTCCAAGTATACTTAATCAGTTTCCGATTGATGGTCCGGTACTCAAGGGCTCTTGTATCCACTCTTCACCTGAAGAAGTCGAGTGTCAGCTGAAGTGCAGAAAAGAGCGCAGGGCTATCTTTTTCTATAAGATCGGGACGTGAATTTCTTATCTAGTTCTCAAGGCTGGTCCTACGTCGGTTCATAAGTTTTCCAATAACATGTGGTGGAGAGAACAGCCCAAACTTGCGGACGCAGTGTTCATATAATCCCTAATGGTTTCGCCCACTTTTTGATACAGGCTCACCCGGTGATCATGTTCGGAGGTTTCATATTTGTATCTAGTGAAGGTATGGGACTTCTGCCCGATCGCCACAGTTGGCTTTCCTCTTTTTGATAGACAATCTAGCATGTGCTGAACTATTTCGATCTAAACATTTTCAGAAGGTATGCTTGGAGAGAACATTATGGTTTTCGTCACGGAGTTTGTGGATCAAAAGACGTATAATAAGTCACTTTTTGATCTCTTGAGTTTTTGTTTACCGTAGTTCAGTATATGTATTTGCGGACAGTTCAAGAGCGTGAGTAGGTTTTCATGCTTTCAGTTACTGTGGTGATGCACTTGAAATTAACTTCCGGACTCTGTGCAGCTATTTTGGTGTACAAAACGCTATCCGGCACTAAAAGATCGAAGAAGTTGGTGCACATGAGCTTGCAAGCTATCGCTTTTCTCCTAGCTCTTGTCGGTATTTGGGCTGCTTTGAAGTTTCACCTGGACTCGAATATCGATAACTTCTACAGTTTGCACTCGTGGTTGGGTATATTCACAGTCGTGCTGTTTTTCATCCAGGTACGAGTGTATGTTTATTGTCTTGAAGTTTGAAAGTCATGTACCAAATTTTGTTGTAAGCTTACCATTCTTAATTCTGCTAACATTTATGAGCACTCTTGAGTAATATGAATTAAGATGCTTGACCACCACCGATTCAGCTCTAATGAGGGCTAACTTCTAAGATTTAGTCACGTTCAACGATCTCAACATGCGGTTGTATGTTCTTCATTTCACTTGCGTTGGTTGACTTGAGAGCTCGTTGATTGGCGAGTGCAGTGGATCGCTGGATTTTTCTCCTTCTGGACTCAGAGCGTTGCTGGTTCTACAAGAGCTGCCGTTTTGCCTTGGCATGTATTCTTTGGCATAGGCGCATACGTGCTCGCCGTTGCAACTGCAGTTCTTGGGTTTTTGGAGAAGATAACCTTCTTACAAAGTGGTAGTCTGGGTCACTATGCCAGTGAAGCCATGTTTGTGAACACTGTGGCACTGTTGGTGGTTGTCTTTGGGTTCGTTACTGTTTTGGCAATTCTCATACCTGCACCCAAGGAGGAGGACGGATATCAAGCAATCGAGTAAGTGTCACTATTGCAGAGGAGGACGTGAAACGTAATTGGAAGTTTAGTTCTACATAGCGTCCACATCTACTGCTCAATGTAGGGCTGACAGTCAAGTGATATGTATATATGTTGCTGTAACGGCAGACATGAGAGGATGATTCGGCTAGTTTGATTGCTGGAATGCGGTCATCCTTTGACATACTCAGTCTGACGACAGAATCAGGCTTTGTCAGTAGAAACGGTCTCGATTTCAAAACTAGGTTGAGTAAAGACCTTCAAAGTGTACATATTTCTTCAGTCTTTGAGGGGCGTTATGAAGCACATACATTACCATCACTTTTTTACTTTTTGATGGGAGTGACGTCAGTGTCATTTTTGACGAAATGGTTGGAAATATACACAACCCTTGATGGATGCTAGGACAGGCCCTTGTTCCAAGAGATTGTCGTGTAGAAATATGATGGTGGATGTACTGCTGTTTCTGTTATATATTTTTTGTCATAATCTTTCGTCTGAATTAATTTATGACTCAGTCTGATCTACAATTGGTCTTGGTACATGCCATTAGGATGGGGGATCTACTGCACTTTTCGATGGCATAGCGCAATCAGTTGACACGTGAAGCCAGTGTTAATTTTCCAACACACACCCATTTCGGCTCCCAATTTTCTCCAATATTCCTTGATCCATACTTGCGCTGATTGCAAGTTTGATTTCATTTCACAGTCCATCCTCTGAAGACTTTTTACCGACGTAAGTAACGTTACAACTAAATGTGGAAATGGTTGAAGTCAGGAATGTGAGACAAATTCTCTGGCACATACCCATTCGTCGGAACGTTGAAGAGGAATCAGAAGGCAGACGTGAAAGTTATCAGTCACCCGAGTAAGTATATTGCTTTCTACAACTCGCGTAGGTTGTTTGTCATCGAAAGAGTACTTTAAAATCATGTATGAAGTAACGTGGAGATATGGAGATGAATAGTCGAATTGAGTAAAAATTACAAACTTTTGAAAGTTTACTATCAACGTTGGATCCATAAATGACACTCTTATCTGTCAAGATCAGATAAGTAGAGAAGGAATGGTCACCAGTCTAGAAATAAAAGTAAACATTAGGATACTTATAAAACACAAGTAGGCCACCAGGAGGGGAAACAACCTAAGCTTATTAACCTCTGTGAACCTTACATGACCACTTTTTCACCAGTTGAAACTACGTATAAGTGCAGCTTTCAGATATCTTGATCTATAAATAGTTCACAATTCGAAGAACTGGAGGTCAGAGGGAGTTCCCTGTGATCATCGTGTCCAAACGGTATCCACTATATTACAAATTGAGAAAGCCCATATGCTTTTGTTGTACAGCGGAATTTGTTTACTAATAAGATAGTAAAGAAGTTAATTACAGATGTGCCTAAGTGCACGAAGACAACCACCATCAAACTTTTTTGATAAAAAAATTTACATAAGCAGGATATAAGTATGTTATTGATAATTGAATAAAATACATAAATGAAAAAATACTTGCTTGATTGTCAATCATAGTGTTTTTGGAGAGAATGCATAATTTTATTTCTTTGAGTTTGATGAAATGCACCATTAGATTAACAATTTAGCTTCAGTTTAAAAATTCGCTGAAATTTAGAAATAAAGGTAATCTGTATTTTATTTACATTACTAAAACCATCCCACATTCATTGAATCAACTTTGACTAATATTGTTTATACTTCACACTTAATAACTGTTCTCATTGTGATATCATTAAAATCATATGATGTTATAAAAAATTAACTTAAAAAATAGTATCCTAACTTTCACTAACAGTATTCTTGCCGATTTGACAACTTAAATATGAAGCTGATTTGTAACATTATTTACTAAAATATGTCTTGATGATGAGAACGATTGTTGGCTAAACGTTTTTACATCGTCCGTAGTAACCATCAGAAGTTTGTGAAGTGTTTGTGATCATCTTTGACCAGGAAGTTGCAAAATTTTTATAAAACAAAGCAGATAAACAAAGCATTTTGAATAGTATTCTGGTAATTGCTATTTTTGGTCATAGTCCAAAAGGTAACCGGCACTATCCTAAATCGAGCAAAGGAAAATCACGCTGAAGGAGGAAAAAACTGTTTGTAGTGTACATGTAAGAGCCCATTCATCTCGACGTACCGAAGACAAGTTGTATTCATAGTGACGAAAGTCCCTCATTGCAACTTTAACGTGTAAGTCAAAGATTGCAAGACATTTTGGTTGACTATGGATCACTCAGAAAAGATGACCACTACGAATACACTCAGCCTCTTAATTACAATAAGACTTAAATTGTTTGATGGTACTCATCAAGTTTCGTTTTGATTAGATGGGAAATCATGTACTTCGCAAAGTTCTAAAACGAAATCTTGTACACATATGATGCGAGTGGATATTTGTTAACACAAATCGATACTAGCTTCTTCTTATACTCATTATTTATTTTCCGGGAACTTCATTTGTATTGGATATGCTGGATGTTTGTAGAATCATGCATACTCCCAATCTTTAACATCTAACAAATTATCTTGATCAATTACAACTAGACACTTCAATACATACAAACTTCTTTGGTCAAGCATCTTGCTTGCCAAAGCAATATCTAGTTTTACATATATTCCAGATCGTTCAATACTATTAAATGCATTTTTCACTTGTCTGCTCGTCTCTATGGCCAAAATGTATTCTCTCAAATTCTTGAATGAAATCAGCTGCCTCTATAGCCCTTGTAGCTGGGTAATTTTGTCATCCAATCTCCATTTTTTTGTCTTCTCAGCATCGAGAGAAGGGTGAGTGAAAGACAACGTTGAGAAGACCAAAGGAATGTAAAAGCTGTGTCTTTGGCCCGAACTTTGAACATCCCAGTTGTGACCATGATTACCACATCTGTCTTTGTCATTTCCGCCCTCACAAAAAATTGAACAACTTTGTGAAAAACTCTTGTTCAATTTCTGATTTCTTCAACTCCGCTGCAACAGAATTGTCAATTCATTTTTTTCGAGAAAATGCTTGGAACTACTCGACACAAGGCATGCTCCGCGACTTCCAAACTTGTCCCCTTTAAGATCACCATTTCCACTTAATCTTGAAGAAGGCACAACAGCTCGATAGGACCCCAAGCTGGCAAGCGTCAATTTCCGCATGCTGGCGGTGTGGAGTACACTCTGTAGAGCATTGTGTGTAGCCACTTATTTGATCTTTCTTCTTCACGAACAAGGTCAATAACGGAGAGAATAACGATGATCATAAGAGAGGAAATCTTGTAAGTTATGATCTTAATTAAGTACACAGCGCTTTTGGTGGTGTAAATGAAAGGTTAACTCATGGAGAGGATGGCTAAATTTGATTTTCTTAAGGAAGCCGGGTAGAGGCGGAAGCGAAAGTGGAGGTCGTAACGGCCATAGAAAAGACAATGAAAATTGTCGAGTACGCTCTTGGAGGCGGCTTGGATGGTATAAATGAAAAGGCACATCATGGAGAGGATGAAAAAAATTGATACTCTTAAGGCCGTCAGGGTAAAGGCAGCCTTAAAAGCCGCCGACTTCTCCTCTCCATCAACGGGCGTGTTTGACGACCTCCATGTTGCCTCAAGAGGATCAATTTTTGCAATATTGTTCATGAGATGTATTTCTATCTACACCATCAAAGATCTTCATGTCTGCCTCTACCCCGGCTGTCTTAAGAGGATCAAGTTTTGCAATATTGTTCATGAGATGTATTTTTATTTACACCATCAAAGACCTTCTTGTCTGCCTCTACCCCGGCTGTCTTAAGAGTATCAATTTTTGCAATATTGTTCATGAGATGTATTTTTATTTACACCATCAAAGACCTTCATGTCTGCCTCTACCCCTGCTGTCTTAAGAGTATCAATTTTTGCCATACTGTCCATGAGGTGACCTTTCATTTACACCATCAAAGCCGCCGCCTTCTCTACAAACGGCGTAAAAAACGGAGAGAACAACAATAGATATAAGAGAGGAAATTGTCTAAGTTACGTTCCTGATTGAGTACGCAGCATCTTTGATGGTGTAAATGAAAGGGCACCTCATGGAGAGAATGGCAAAATTTGATTTTTTTTTAAGGCAAAGGCGGCTGTGAGGTCGTGATGGCCAACTTTAGCTCTCGTCCTAATGTATTATTTGCTTTTTGATAGAATTTCACAATTTGATATTAGAATATGTTTGACGTGTATTGTGAGTGGGTGAGATCCCATCAAGTAATATGAAACTTAAAGCGATCCATTAAGCAATTTATGTTCCGATGGAGTTACATCAAATAAATACTTCTACAAGGAACTTTCAAAGCTATCCATTAAGCAATTTATGTTCCGATGGAGTTACATCAAATAAATACTTCTACAAGGAACTTTCAATTGAGCAGTCCAGTCAGCTTAACTTTAATGTATTATCATGTACATTCAACCTGCCATAAACTCCCTACACAGATTAATCTACAATATTTAAGTAATCATTATCTAATCCTACGTTCAAAATTTAGTGTAGACAATCAATAACGGAAGTTTTTTAGGAGATTATGTAAGAAATTTCATAATGATTTAAGCTCAACCCTCAATTATTAATAATAACAAAAAGCATAAATAGAAATAAAACAAGAAAATATTATGGTTTCAATATTTTCTTTGATTTTAAAGGACTTTTAAATTTAAGTTTCAAAAACTTGAACATTTCTTTCAATATGGTTCACCAAATTATTATGGGAACTGTTTCCCAGCAGAAGTGGACCCTGAAGTGCTCTCTGTATGAAGTAAATGATATGCTAATATCTGATGTTAATAGAATATGCAGATTTTCTAAGATTTAAATATGAAAATAATCTAAACAATTTGAAAATTTTTTGGATTTGTGATTATCAAAACTATGCTATGGTCTACCCATCCATTGTTCTTGCTTATTATGATCATTTTCATGATGTCTTGCAGTCGACTAGGTTTAGGAAAAATCTATAATTGGTTGAACCTCATCATATTTTTGTAAAGGTGATGACTACCTATTTTGAACTTAAGATCTTTTATAGAAGTGATTTGTCATTTCCTCGTATGGGCAGCATATCACACTAGGTATGATTTGCTATTAATGAGTATAAGTTTTTCGCTTATTTTGTAGTATAGATGTTATACTAGTTCCACAATAGGAACTAACTGATTGACATTCTACTATACGTAGAATGTCAATCAAATTATAAATTGATATGTCATACCGTGTGAATGTCATTTGACTTTGATAATTTGCATAAATTTAGCTTTTGTAAGTGATTATAACCATTGCGGTAATACGCAATCTACTTTTTATTTCTCATTCGTTCAATTTGAAATATTATATTTCATTTTTTTATCCTATTTTCATCCTAATTTTGTAATGATTTCAATTAGATTTTTTTGTATGTCAAACACATAAAAAAATTTAAAAATAACACGTCAAAATATATTAATATATTTTTACGTGTTAAATGTGATATTTGATGCAATAATAATAGGAATGATATTATCAAAGATATGTGCAATCAAATTTGATCTTTTATATTTTGATCAAGATTTAATGATAAAAAGTTGACATAAAATTTCATCTAACTAATGGAAAATTAAATTATAACTTATAAAAATACTCATTAATATTCAATAATATATTAAATCAAATAACATTCATGGATCTATTTATTAAAAGAATATCAATCAAAGTTTAGATTTAATGTCTGTTTTTAAGACTTTTGGTGTAAATCCATACTTCATGTTTGTATGTATGTATATGTACATGATTTCCTCAAAGGATATTTTTTAACACATCAAAAATCTTCTTGACCAGCTCTGGAATCTGTGTGCTCAAATATGTCCATTCAACAAATGTATAATATATATTCATGTATTAGTCCATGATTTATGAATCAGTCTCACAAAAAATATCTGTGGTGTTAATGACAAGAAAATAGAGAAGCAAAAAGTAGAGAAGATAGTTAAGTACATTTACATTCGAGAGCTTGATTAGCTTGACCATTTTGGTTTTGCGGCGCAAATAATAAGGCTTTTTAAGCAGTAGGTATAACTCAAAGCGATGAACATGCTCTATATGACATCTTGAAGCACTTTCTTCTAGTTAGAGGCAATACGAAATTGCCCTCTTAGAATTCATGGAGACAGATTCTCTGCATTCATCGAAAACTTGTTCCTAATTCTAGTTAATTTGCATAGATTTCTAATTCAAGGCTCGATTCTCAACCCTGCAAACGAAATAAGAATAATAATCTTCACCTCTATAGCAGTCTCTCTTATGGAAGAGATCAAAGCTCAACTTGCCATTACGTCTCAAATAGCCAATCTAATTGAAG